TCTGCTTCTGTGAAGCCACCCTCTCATTCTCTTTCGTCCTTTTCTCACACACCAATCGCATATATTCACGCCATGTTACGCCAAAACAAAATTCCCCTTGGATCGAGATCTACAATATTCCCTTGACGTTTCTCTTATATATTTACCATTTTTGCTATACTTTATTCTCTCTTCTTGCTTTTGTCCTTCAGGTGGCTGAAATCGTGGAAACCCCAAACACACCTCCTGCGTTCACCAATTGCGTGTTTCTCTTCTAGTGAGGGATGGAATGGCAAATTTGTGTAAATAAGACAGTCGTAGAATATTTTAAACAATATGTGAGTTGAATAAAATATATCAATACATTGATTTTATAAATAAACGTTATATTATTGCATTTTTCATTAATAGTAAAAATTATACTACAAATTGTGACACAATATTTTTTAAACACTTAAAAAGAAAAAAAGAAGGAAAACACTAGTGTAACAATTCAGAGATGGATGAAAAGTTAAATGTATGCACCCTGATAGTATTTAAGCATACAATTGCCCAAGCGGTAACTGGTAAACCCCGTCATTTCTTATGCGATATAATTTGAGTTATTCTCCATGGAACAATCGATTTGTGAATTGTGTTACAGAAAATGTTCAAAGGGCTAACATTAAACGACCCACCGTCTGGCATCTAGACATTCCTAGTCTGCTAAAATGGTTTCATAAAATGATGGGTAGAATCAGAGAAATGTCAGCGTAAATAATAAGAGGGTGGTTTATTTTTATTTGTCAAAAATACAATTAACTGTCAAAGTCTTTTATTAATCAAAATTGACTTTATTTTAAAATATAATTAAAAACATGAAATTATGTAAAAAGAAAAAAATTGGAAACAAAAAATAAACAAAAAAATTTCGACAACGAAATTCTATTTTATTTATACAATTGAATGTTTTAGTACTGCGAACATCATCACTCGATCCACTTGTTTCCATCCCTCGACAAATCAACTCTTATCCCTTGTGCGCACCTCCGACCCTCCCTCTAATCCTGTTACGCACTGCGCAACTCGTCTCTTTTCTCCTCATGCACACGTACAATCAGATAAACTGAAGAACTGCCTATACTCTATCTTTTTTACGTTTCTTCCTCCACCCACTCTTTTATTCCCCCTTGCCTCTATCCTGTCAAACAATCGACTTGTCCGGATTGCGTGGTGCATAATCCACAAAATTACTATCGCCAAGACTTTACATCGAATCCTAGACTAAACAAAAGAAGTTACAGTTCGTATTCATCCGATTAGTTTTTTAATAACTATTGTTTCAAACACTGGCTTTAATTGAAACAAATCTAAAAGAGGGAACAAAGAATTTCTTTTATATTAATTGTTAATATTTTTGATGAAAGAAAAAAAAATATTTGAATAAATGAGAGTTTTTATTTTGTTGTATTGATTATTGATGTATTTTTTATCAACGCATAATTTAAAGTCTAAATTAATAAAGAATTAAATTATTGAAGAAGTAATTCAGCACAAAAACGACATTCATTCTATCGTAAATTACAGAGTGGAAATGGAAAAAGAGTAAAAAGTGTATATCGAATGCTTCAGTTAAATCCCTTTGCTCAACTTTCTTTTAAATTGAGCAACTCATTTACAAGGAGAATATTACTGTTTGACAGGAAGAAGAGAGAATGTTGCAAGGGATAAAATGAACGATAGGGAAAAATCAAGTGAACTACTTTTTACTTCTTTTTCCTAATTTGCATACAATTTCTTTTAACTCTAAAAGTCGACAAGAAATTCTTTGATCTTTATTTAAAAACGTTGATTAACATTTTAATTTTTTACACAAAAAGTCTTTCTGATTGTTACTCTCCAATCTTAACTTCAATATAAAAACGATATATATTGTAAAATATATGGTTATGTATTTTATGTTCACAGCGAACACTGCAAATCTTAATGCATTCTTGTTACACATTTAAACATGTTAAATATGACGTCATCCATTTTTAGATGTTTAAAAAATAAATACAGAGAAAAAGATGTGTACGACCCTGGGATAAGGGTGAAAACTACCCCTAAGCAATTATTTTTTAAAATTATCTTGAAAACTATACAGGACACAATATATTTATAATTAATAAACTATAATCATTGATATCAATTATTTGTACTCCAAAATGATCAGCAATATATGTTTCAAGTCCGGCACTATTGCTTTTAATTTACCCCAGAGTAAAAGGGAGTCATTCATTCTCGACACACAATTGATTTCTAGTCCCCAAGGATTTTTTCAACATCTTCAGTAGAGAGTATTTGATAGAATTTAAAAAACGATACACGAAGAGAATGGCATAACGATCATTAGGTGAAGTAGAAATACAACAGCCAGAGAAAATCTGTAAAAAATAGCAACCCTTAGGCAATCTCAGCGGGGGTGCGAGTCGTACTTTGGTCATGTGATCCCTTGTCTGTTATTACAGTTGTAAGTCTTGGATTAATCCATGCTAGGAACTGGTCACACAGTCCAATCGCTTGTCATATAATCCAGTAAAAATGTAAATTTATATCACCCTCAATCATCCAACTTATAGACTGTTTGAATAAGTGAAAAGATCATGCGTAAATGTGATGCATGTATTGGTGGATTTAGATTCACAAATCCAAACGGGACAAAGTAGGTACCAAAAAAGAGGTGTCATATCTATGTACATGTGTAGAGTATGGGGCAATAGGTTCAGGGTAAATATTCACAGATGTATGCTTGGTTCCTTTAACTGCTCGCACGAACGAGAATACATCCTGAATTGTTCGAATGAACTTGCGGGTCTCTAACGGGATTTATTTGTATTCGTAACCAAAGCACAGAGTAAAAGAGTGAGAGGGAAAATGGAAAAGCTTCAACATGCGGGAACTCACGCCCTCGGTTGATGTGCGAGAACAAGTGTACATATGTACTTTGTACGAATCAAAATACATAGTCAAGATACAGTTGCCATATGTATATACATATAGAGAGGGTAACGATAGGATATAGAGATGTATGTTGGCTATATGTAAGCATTGTAGCGAACAGTCAGCTAACTAACGGACTACCAGTTCATTAGAGATCGCTAAACTTTAGGGTATGTCTAACACGCCTAGAAATTGCTATTCTCTGAACGTTTTAATTTATTTCTATATAAAGTAGAGAAAATTAGAAAAGTTGAGAGCAGGTGTAACTTTTATTTAAAGTTTAAAAAAAAAAAAATTGAAAGGAAATATATATGAATGTGATGAATTATTTGAAAAGTATTCAAAATAAATATTAATCAAAGATAAACAAGCTCTTCGTTAATAAATATATTTTTTGATCATTGGAGTAAGAGAAAGTCTATTAAAGTCTATCATCACAATAATACTCGATTGATAAATTGATTAATTAACCCAATGATTTTGAATAGTTAAGAAAATACTCAACACTCGATTTATAATTAATAGCCTGCGATTTATTATAACTTTCACCAATTTGTGATAAACAAATTTTTTATGTGTCAAACTTTATTAAAATGAGTGTTACCATCGATCAATTACAAAGTTGAATTATTTTATCAGTAGAATAAAATGGTTGTTTCAAACAAAAGTAGATTTAATGAACTTTAAAAGATGCATTTTCAAAGGATTGATGATTTACAATTTATTTTTTATTTAAATATTTAAAATATTAATCTTCAAAACTAGGGTAGCCATTTTAATTTAGTCTTATTCTGAAGTCTTGAACATAGTTCATTGAATTAATCAGAAGAGAAAATAAGATTAGGGCCATTTATTTAATTATTTAAAAAGAATTTTTTCGTGATATTTATCAGCAAGTTAAAATAAATTTTAAAAGACTTATTGAACTTTTGTTTATCAATAATTCAATTTTTTAATACATTAAAAATTATTAACATTCTTTAATTAGTTGATTTAAGTTTTTTACTTGTATCCCACTTTACTCCACTTTACCCTACTTTTATTATTCAAAAAATATACTTATCATTTTTAACTAAATAATTTTGCACAAAAATTACATTTATACTCACCAACACATAAATTAAAACAAAAAAAGATTCATCATGTATGAAAAAAAGATCAATGTATAAAAACGTTGTCTCAATTTAAACATTTCATCACATTATAATGAAATTTTAAATAGATATCTTGAAAAAAATTATTCCTAAGAATACTAAATTATAAACTAGTTCAAAATTGCACTGGTACATTTATCGCATTCTATAGTCTGATGAATTCAAGATTAAAAACTCCAAAGGCTAATACAGGATCACCTGAAACTTCAAAGGATAACGAACACACAGTTAAGCTTGTAAATCAAGTAATCAACCGCTATAAAAGTCCACCTACACAATTATGGTTTTGGAGCCATTTTTATGTGCGTTTGATTCCAAAGGGTGTGGATCTGAATGATTTTTTGTCAAGCCTTTTTGGCTTCAACGTAACATTTTTTTACATTATTTTCTTACTTAGCTTTATAGCTGTGACACATGACCCTTAATTCGATTCGTTGCGCTTACGATGGGATATTGTTGCGCCAACAAAATCCATTGACAATGACGTGAAGAAAAAAAAAGAAGAGAACTGGCCAATGTACATCTCGTTTTAATATTTCAAGTACATATATAACCTGAAAATACAGTGACACTATGAAATATAGATCAACTAATAATTCTTCCAACAGAGCAAGAAGTTATTTCAATAAATAATTACCAACATAAAATAGTAAAATGCTAAAAATTATCAACACATTTTTGTTTTAATTAAATATTTACACTAATTAATGGGAATGAATTTCATAGAGCTCAATAATTCAAATAAAATTAGAATTTATGGCACTAACAGTTGGATTTGAATGTTGAATGATGATCGAGTTATTAGCAGTTGATAATGTCAACAACTATTATTCCAAATGTCAGAATCATACCATTGGAATTCTTCAAGAATCAAGATGCAGAGACTGATCATTTGGAGCGGGAAGGTCCACTTCATTACATGAAAAGGTCTTGGAAGCTTCAAGAGCATTTTTGATTCCATGCAGTTATAAATTAAATCGTACAAGTGATTGCTTCAACAATTAAAGTGTGCAGTAAATAAATATAATAATATTTCTATCTTCATATTGTGATTATTGAATAAAATATCATCAACACTTCATTTCTGAAAGGTATGAAATTTTTATATTGTTTTATCAATTTTTGTTACAATGACTAAAATTAATGTGAGAAATTGACTGAAAATTTAAACATGTTGGATGAATTTAAATGTTCAATAAATTGAGTTGATAAATTTGGCTTCATTTTAATTAAGATGAATTCATAAATAAAAATTTGGAAGTTGCATGTTGACACAAGACTTGGTGCTGAAGTTTTAATTTCAGTAAATGATGATGTCATTAAATACTTTGTAACTTTAGATGAGATAAACTTGCTATGATGAAAATATTTTTCAAGAGAATTTTAGTCAATGTATATGGAACGTGATGATATTAATCAGTGATACATAGATCTAAATAATTGCTATCTTAAATTATTTATTCAGTGAGGACAAAACAGCCAGTAAAAATAGCTTTTAAATAATATAACTATTGAATATTTATTATTTATATTCTATAAACAAAAATTAAACTATCGGAGATGTTTTGTGTGACTGAAAAATGTTATATAGTTCAAACTCTCCACTTGATCCAAACCAAAAGAGTTATAAAATTTATTTAGAAATTTTAAGAAGTAATAAAACATGGAGTTCTTGGAGGACAAAGGATTCATTGAAGTCCTTTCGAACATGTGTAAGCCACACATAATATTTCTAATGTATAGTTAGTTTGAATCAGTTATTGTTAATAATTTTTAGTTGGTCTTCTATTGATTTTCTCACACTAAACATCGTGTCCAAGAGTTTGTCCATGTAAAGTACCAACAACTATTTTAATAAGTCATTTTTCTTATCATCTAGATGGCGATTTCAACTTGTTGTGGAATTTGTTCCCTGAGAACTGGAACAATTGTAATTGCTATTTTGAATCTGGTCAGTATTAAATACCATTAAATAAATTAATTTCTGTAGAAACCAGTAAGAAATATAAGTTTTTTTTTCTTTCTAGATATTTGGAGTCTTATCATTGATAATATCATCCATAATACTCGTGGACATATTCTCTCCCTATTATAAAATCGAACTGAAATCTCTTGGTGGTGGATTAATAAGTTACATCTTGATGGTTTTAACACTGGCATTAGTACTTCTCATTGGAGCTATAAAGGTATGTAATTAAAAAACCTGTAGGATGATAGATTTCTGATAGTATTATTTCTTTTCACAGAGAAATATCAATTTTGTGTTTCCTTATGTGTATCTGAGTTTTGGAAATATTCTGTTGTCTATTGGAGGTTTTATCTCAATTATAATTAATTTTTGTACGCAACCATATATGCCAGGAATTGCGATTTTTTTAATTTTCTTCATCATTGGAATACTATTAAGTAAATATCTTTATTGTTACATCAAGTTAAGTAAATCTATTTGATTTCATTATTTTTACTTGTTTTTCTAGGTCTTCAAATCTATTTCTGGCTGATTATATTTTTCTATTACAAACAATTGATTGAGGAAGGAAGACAATCAAATATTACTCAAAATAATCTTCTTGAAAATGAACTATCTTGTTAATTTGAATGGACAAATATCAACCAACGCTCTCTTTCTGTAAACTTGAAAACTCAAACCTAGAAAAAAAATGTTCTCAGTTGTAGTTAAGTTTCTATTACAGTCTCCTTGAGTAGTAATAGTGCAAAATTGCAAATGATTGGCGCTAAATCTTAGTATATATAACGTATTTGAGCTTTTATACTAGTTATTTGTACGTTACAATTGTGTACGCATATCCTCCAAAACTATTTTTTTAATCAAGGTTTAATTTTTAATTTAACTAATAAGTGTCATAATTACATTAATATTTTTATAAACTACAATATTTGAAATATTTTTACTGTATCTAACATTTAATTGAGTGAAAATCTAAATAAATATAAAAGAAATATTATTTATCTGTAAATATATTTTTGTATTGGAAACATTTCACTATAAAAATTATCCACGCTAGTGAATTGTGCAAATAAAATTACGAATAATTTTATTATTCGTATAATTTTATAATTTTATTCATTATTCTAAAAAAATGTCATGTTGAATGATGACTTATATTAAATAATAAATAATATTTTTAAAAAATACTTCTAATGTACTAATGATTGTCTTAAATTATTGTTTCTTGAAATTCGATAGAAATAAGCATTAAGGAAGTATTAAGGAAATATTCTTTATTATCAAAAGATAAATTGTGGTCTTGATGTTACTAATATTCTACTAAAATATAAATTATAACAAATTTTTTATGTATAATAATTAAAACAATTTTAAATAGCCTGATATTTTTGTAGATGAAGCTTGAGAAGTTTTGTGGATGCTGTTCTTTACGTACAGGATCGTTGATCATTGGAGTCCTCAATCTTGTAAGTAATTAAATCAATATGTACCTAATTTTTATGTTGGTTTTTGTTTCAAGTATTCTACTTTCTAGGTTTTCGTTCTTGTAGGATTGATAGGAATATCAATTACGATCGCACGAGTTCAAAATGTAATTAACTATTTTTATTCACTCCAAGATGATCAGAACATGTACAATTTTCAATTAATAAAATCTCTATATGTCGGACTTTTACTTTACATTCTCGTATTGTTAATGATAGCCGTAGTTTTTATAGTCGGTATTATCAAGGTAAGAATTTAAAATGGTCTAAATGAAAATACATCCATCTGATTTTTATTCTTAATTTTTTTTCGACAGAGACAATCCTTGTTTGTTCTACCATGCGTCAGCATTAGCTTTGTGAATTTTCTAATAGCATTTTCAGCAGACATTGGTATTTTAGCATTAGTATGTTCAGTTTCACATCTGCCTGGAGGAATTATTTTTTTGACATTTGTCATCGTGATCATCAGTCTAAGTAAGTAAACAAATCTATCATAAATTATCTATCAATGAATTAAATTTATTACTTTATAAATAAATTATTCCATAGGTGTCCAATTTTATTTTTGGCTAGTGATATTTTCTTTCTATCAAGAATTAATCACTGAAAAATATGGACAAATTTCTGCACATAGCGACATTATTCTCCATTAGAATAAAGTCGAAATATTCGAATAATTTTTCATGAATTTTTTTTAAAAAATTATGATAAATTTGTGTTATTAATATCTGATAATAAATATTTTTTGTGTAAACATTTCTCCCTTCCCTATTGAAATAATAATAGAAAACTATACGATCTTCATTCGATATGTTAGATATGTCATTAAGAATAAAATGTTTTCAAATATCACAATAAATTAAACACATTTTTTCCTTAGAATTAATTTTTTTTAACATCTGAATTGTGCTTTTCATATTAACCCTACTTTTGCAATTAAAAATACTTTTATACATAATAAGGACTATATTTTATTTTTTTTCCCATCCTTAGCTGAAAAAATTTTAATTTTCATGACAGTATTCACTACAAGTGGCAAGTAATCACAAACGATTTATTTATCATTCATTTTTTTGAGAGTTCATTGGCCAGACTTAACCTTGACCATGAGTGCTCCGCCACACCATCACAATATAAAGCACTTTTGTTTTATGTGTTATTTAGAATATATCTCAAGTTGGATACTTTTTAGAAAAATTCTATTTATTTAACATAAATCAACAAATAATTAATAAAAAAAATTAACCAACAAACAAAAATGCAAATTATTATTTTGCATTTGAATGATCGATGTCACAAAAAGGACTGAACGCATGCGCATAATGAGTTGCTTTGCATTCAAGTGAAGAGTCTCCAGTTTGCTAAACAGTGTTCATGTTATCAAGTAGTGGTTGTATATAAATAGTGAAACAAATTTGGAACTGTTGCTGCTGATTTATTAACAGCTTGCTATTTCTTTTCTTTACGGTATTTATTTCATTGTCAACTTTTTCTTTATTAATTAAATTTACTGGCATAGTATGTGTTATTCATTATTTTTTATTATAACTAAACTTTCTTTCACATAAGAATGTCCAGGTCCTGGCATTATCTTACATTGAAAGAAGGATCCATACCTTTTGGGGTAATTAACCTGGTAAGCCCTTCTTTCATCAAAGACTTGTCTATTTTATTTATTTATAATTAATATGAAGTCATAATTATTGTAATTTTATTAAATTTGGAAAAAAATATTAATAAATAATAAAAGATTTAAAAAAATATTATTGTTACAAATTATTGTTCATTTTGGAAATTTTTAATCAAATTTAGTCTAAACTTCATTGCAGATGGAGGGGATTGCATTATTAATATTTTTATCTTATTCTACATCAAGAACAGATTATAATTCATATATATCTAATCCAAAACATTATTTCATTGCCAAAGCTAAAATGGTCGAATTAATAGCTTATGTTGTATCAATTATAATATTATCAACTTTACTGATTATTGGAGCAATCATGGTAAGTAGACAAGTGATTTATATTTTAATACATTCTGAAAAATGTCTAAGTAATAACAACTTTTATTTTTTTTTCAGAGAAGTGCAATCCTAATATTACCATCCATGTGTGTGAGCTTTGTATACATAATTGTTAATGTTGCAGCCATTATTAAGCTTTGTTTTTTATGGTCATTTTCATCAACGCCACCGATAATTATGTTTTTTATATTACTTGCTGTTGGACTGGGATCAAATAAGTTTATTGACTCAAATAGCCATCAGCCGAGGTGATGAAATGCCCATTAAAGTGATAAAAATATTTTTATAGCTCTCCAATACTATCAATGGTTAATTATCTTGAGATTCTAACAAAGAATTGGTGGCTGAAAAGCATGAATACACTCTTCAAGATGGTGAAAAAATATATCAGCAGTCACTTAATCATCGAGTTTGTTTCTTTCTATCAACAATCGATCTACCATATAGTTAGATCTATATGTTTATATTAAAATAATAATTTGACTTTTTGTCGAGTCTTCCAACTAAATCTTCCCGATAAAAAATGAGATGATAGAATCTTATACAATTTTGCAGAATCTTGAAGGGTCATATATGATTTTAACCAGCTATACCTATTCTGAGCAAGCAATAAGATTCCATAAAACTCTATGCAATTATATACAATTGACTATTATCAACATCTACATCACTATGTGTTAAATATTCGAACACAAATTTTTTATTCATATCAACATGATTATTCACACCGAATAATTGAACAATAACGTGTATTTGAAGATGTAAAAATCAAGCGCAAGCGCAAAAGGACTGTCATCATCAGCTGCGTAAATAGTCTTGGTATCCGAGTGGAAAAACCGACTTCATTAGTTAAGTGGTGAACTTACCAAGTGATGGAATAGAAACTGAGCGGAACATCTAACAGTGTAACTGAAAATTTATCAACGAATATTGACCAAATCATCATCAAGGTGATCATTTTTCTTAATATTCTCATCTTCACTTCTTACTCGAACAAAATCAATGATATACTGACACCTAAACCAGAGCTTTTTGGCTCCTGAAAGCTGTCTATGACGTCTATAGAAGCAAATAAGAAGTTGTGAGCTGATGTTGTGACCTTCTATATTTTTTCTTTCTCTAGTTCCCTTGAAATTACAGCTTGCCCGGCTCCACGATAGTCTAGACTTTTTTTTATTATTATTTAAAATAAAGGAACATACATTTGTTAAAGACGTGATATAACATAAAATAATGGATCAATAATAGATGGATAAAAGAATAAAAATAAAATCTAAATCGTCATTGATATCCGTCTTTTTTATAATATTATTGTTGGAATGTCCCACCAATAGACACTTGATCAATTAGAATCACACTTAATATACTTCCGGTATAATTTTTACGATAAAATCATTTAATTATATTTTTTTTTACTCCAACTGAGTTGAAGCACAAGCAAATAACATTCTGGCAATAAAAATATTATCTTTTTCATACAATGATTGTAATAGAAATTCAAAATGTGTATTACACCATCGTTATTATCACAAGTTTCTTGGAATATTAAAGAATCTTATCAACTTAAAATATGATGTAATAAAATGTTGATATTATATTTTTATGGATGTACATTGATGTGGTAAACCAAGCAAATTTTCAATAAGCAAAAATAAATGTTAAACATTTGTCATTCTATTTTTAAAATGCATATAAAAATAAATATATCTTATTAATTGAATGAAAAAATGTGGACATGAATAGCTTTTATGTTTAACATGAGGTACGAATCGACAAAGTTATACTGAAACTTTTTTATAAATAGCACCAACGATTAAGCCACGAATACCAATACAAATACAGCATTGTTGATCAAACAATTCTTCTAACACAAAGTATGTAAATTTGAAAACACAATACCAGTCGTAAACTTACTTTTGTTTATTTTCAGATGAGAATTGCTTCGTGCTGTGGATGCTGCTCTTTGCAGAATGGATCCATAATTATTGGAATTCTTAGTCTGGTAATTGATATGTTTATTAAAACAATTTATTTGTCTTTCCATTTTTTATCAAGACACAAATGTGATTATTGAACATGTATCTTTTTTAAGGTATCTGGATTCTTTTCATTAATATCCCTCAGCATTTTTGCTGCTCGAATCGAATATGTATCTAATAATCCAGACTTCCGTATGGGAATGTATTTTGTGGCCAAGGCTGTCATTGCTGCATTCATATCTTACGTTCTTCTCATGCTGATCATCACCTTCTTTTTCATTATGGGAGCAGTGAAAGTGAGTGAAATAAAATCTTCTCTAGCCAGTCTATATTTATATGTTAATTATTATAATCAAATTTCTAGAAACAAGCATCCTACGTATTTCCATTTTTATGTATCAACTTTGCAAATATAATATCAACTGTGGCAGTGGTGATTGGTTATGTAACATATTCATGGATCTTCCCTGATATACCACCAATATTTGGTGTCTTCTTAATTTTAATTTCTGGATTTTGTTTAAGTAAGTCAAAATTTGTTATTCTACCAATTCTATTTTAATTTGCTAAATGTTTAATAATCTTTACAGCTCTTCAAACATATTTGTGGCTGGTAATTTTCCATTTCTACAAAGAATTGGTGGCAGAACAATATGGACATTCTCTCGACAACGGTGGTAAAATTTATCAGCAAAAATATCCTTACGGAGTATAAATTCAGCCAATGAATATTATTCAAAATATATTACATAAATAGATTTTAATATGCTATTTAAAGTATTTTCATATTTTTTTAAAAGTCTATGAAAACATAATACCGAAAAAAAAAGAAATATTTTTATTTTTCACTTGTGATCTTAATTATGCATTTTACAAAATGAATTAATTCTTTTTTTCATCGTATTTTACACTGTACCATCAATATAACTGTGGTGCATTTTTATTTTCAAGCTAAAAATCTGTTATACAGTAAATATAAATATTTACTCATTGATGGTTAACGAATATATAATATATATTAAATATTCTATTAAATGTTATAAATATTACAGTACTATATAATATACAAAAAGATAATTGTCTTTTTTATAATTAAGAATTTCAAGTAAATATATACGCACAAGAGAAACTTTCAAGGTTTTATATTTAAATGAAAAATTTGCAACTTCACCTATTTATTTGAATTCATGAAAGTCTCTGGATTTTGTAAATGAATAATTTATTCATTTATTCGAAAGTTTTCCACCGAAATTGATGACTTCATGATGATCAATACTATTATCATTATTTAAAAACCATCTAAATTAAATGGCCTTCGATAAAATAATTCTGTGATATCTTAAAAAATATTATAACAACACATATGTCTTTGAAGATCATAGTTATTTTCATAAACATGAACATTGGCTAACCAAAGTATCGTAATTCAAGAAGTATCTCATGACTTTTTGCTGAAAAGCCACATTTAGAGAAATTTCTTCACATTTTATAGCTTTTATGTAGTCTCAACTATTATTCTCACTTTCTCATGACACGAATAATATCCTACAGATTAGAATACCAGTCAATAATTTATTATACTATCATATTATATCAAATGTTAGAAGAAAAAAAGCATAACTCACGTGCGCCTTGAAGCATTTGTAGTAAATCATTTAAACATTCACCTCTGTACATACATTATATTCTTTCTATTCATTGATTCATCTACCAGTGTGTGTATCAAGTGTAGGTGTACGTGCAGTAGGTGTAGAACATCGTGGTTTGGTACGGCTCACTGTTCTTGGCACAGTTTCAGACCATCTTCTAGTGCGAGTGGAGCTGAGCTGGACCTGTGTGTTATTCCCGCGGAAAATTTTGTTTTTTTTTTGAACATTGACAATCTGTGTCTGACGTTATTGAATAATAACTCAAGTTATTTTTTAAATTAATTCCAGTGTTTTAAAGACTCAAATAATCTCACATCCAGAAGATATTCTTCATAATGGAAAAGTAAATATAATTTCTTCCTTATATTTGCTTTGATATAATAATCCTTAAATGGTCATTAGATGTATCTATTTGAGTATAAATAAAATAAGAGTCTTTTGAACTGATGGAGGTCTTATACTTAAAATTAAATGTCACGAGATGTTAATTTCTATATTTAAAATAAAATAGAGCCTGCTGCTTTTTTTACTCATAAAATTGGGTTGAATTTAACGGGAATTTATTTATTTTAAACTTAGTGACGGTAATTAATCAAAAGTGATGATATAATTAATTTAATTAAACCACTATCTATGGATAAATTGGTCTAAATCTATTGAATCAAATCTTATATATTGAAGTGTTATTTATTCATTAGATTTGAATGGGATTTAATTAATTTATTTGATATGTATTGGGCTAATTCACTCAAAGAATATTTTTAACTTTTATTTATTCTACAGCTGAGTCATCATTTAAATTTAAAATAAAGTATCTGTGAGATCATTGCAATTTTTTTTTGCTAAATATCCACGTCGACGACTTGAAAAGTGCAAAAGATGTATATAAGCTTTTATACTTGAATACTTGAAGACAGATTACACGTTTTTGCACAAGTATTAAAAATTATGTGAAATGAATAAAAACAACACTTGCGTCTTTCTGATGACGCAGTTGTTTTTATGCGAGGTAAACAAGAAGTGAGAGCAAATGTAGAAGAGTGGAAAATTGAAACAAGGAAGAATCAAGTTCGTGTTTCCTTATGGGGGGGCTTCTCGATGGACCTCGGCAAGTTTCATGGCCTCTCGTGACTGTCACACTTATCTACTGATCTCTCTTGACGATTAACTTTGCCTTGATTGAGAATTCAGAATTTTCAAGAAGGCAGTGGGAGTACCAGCATTTGACAATGGCCTATATCTTACTTTTTCTTAGCTTATTTTTGGCTCACTTACAAACTCGAATAATGACCTAATTGATGTTCTTATTAAATATTATGATATAAGTCTTTTTTAATAACCATTTTATACCATTTATTTCTACCATCATTTTTATTTATTCATTATTATCTTTAGAAGACTTCAGATCAACTCCTGCTGCAGGTGTTTTTCTTTAAAAACAGGAACACTCTTCTCCGGAGCATGTGGGATTGTAATTATGATTTATCTAAACATAATTTAATACTATTGAAATATACAATTATTTATTGATAAATTTTACTTTCACTTTTATAGATACTTTCCATAATTACATTAATTCTCATATTTACCTTAAATATTGAACTGAAGATGATAGTACTTGATATTCTTGACAAAACAGTGGTAAGGATTATATTTGCCATTAATCTCTGCATGACGATATTGATTTCAACACTATTGATTATTGGAGCATTAAAGGTAATTTTAAAATGCAATTTATATTCATTAAAATAATAAGTACTTGTGCTCAGTGTAATATGTTTGATGATTACATTATAATTCTCTCTTTGATTCCAGAAAAATACTTTTATGATGGTACCTTGGGTCGTTCTAGGAATAATGTTAGCTGTTGGAGCTTTAGTGAGTGTTTTATATACTTCCATTCAATACATGGTAACAAATAAAGTCATAACTGGCGTCATTTGTCTAATACTTGGCCTAATTTTCGTTGGTAAGTAATGTTATAAATATTTCCATCTTTTCTAAAAACCTATCAACTTCACTAATAATTGTTCTATTTGCAGCTGTGTATACATATCTCTGGTTCGTCGTGTTTAGTTATTTCCAGCAGTTGAGAAATGAGAAAATGAGTGGTAAAATTGGGCCATATGGACGACCATACAATTATCGAAGACCGTAAATAGAGAAATATTGATAAATCCGTTGGTACTCTTGTCTAACGGTATGAAAAAATTTACCAAAGCCTTGCCACAAGTGCTCCTCGCAAAAATTCAATAATTTATGCGAGAAGTAATCTTTTTTGAAACATTTATTAAATCACATCTGATATTTTGTCTTTTGTCAAAAGTAGTCGACGTAAGACTGATAATAATTGACTTTAAATCAAAATAACCTTAAATGATAATTGTTATTTTTATATAAATAATATACATCACGATAAAATATTTATGTTTTATAATATTATTGAAAATTATTTATTGAATGTTTACCATAAAAATGACTAATTGTAAAGTAATTTCTGTTAATGTATATATCAAATTAATATAAATAATCATGAGTTTACTCTGCTTTTATAATAATAAGTATTGTTATAAAAATTTATTTGCAATTAAAAATTAAATTGCAATATAACGAATAGGTTAATTTTATATCACAAAGTGATGTCACAATGTCATGAAAATTTCATGCCAAATCGAATAAAAGAAGAAAAAAAATCGCCAATTCGTTTTCATAGGAATTATTATGTTTTCAAATTTGTAATTGGCTTCTAATTAATTATTACAAGCATAGTGATTAGTGAGTAAAGCATTCCGTCCTATTATTCATCATTTGGAGTTAAATAATTTTCGATATATGCTCTAATAAATAAGCCTAATGCAGCAGCAGCAACTCCAGATGCATGACTGTCACAACCATGGTCCATGAGACTCGTTGATTTCTTAGTACGATATCGAGAGCGTTGATTCGGCCTAAGCAATGCAAAAAAATGATTACTCATTTTTATAAAATAAGCATCATTAAAAATGTCGATATTGATTTTTACTTAAATGCAGAGAAACATCCATAAGGACTCCTCCAACTCATTACAAGATCGATGTAATAATTATCAACAAAATCTAGATAGCCTTCCATCCCGCATAAAGTAACTAAAAAAATTAAATTTAATGTGATAGAATAAGTTTCTTAAAAATAATTCTACAGCTTACTTTGTTCCATAGCTAAATCTCGAGATATTGATGGAAAATTGGATGAATCTAAATCAATCAAATCCTTAAAAATCTGCTCACAATATTCTTCAATTAAGGTGGAAAAATTGACATATGAGGGACGTTTACATTGTCGCTGTATGATCCAGAAATGAAAAGATTTAAAAAAACCATTGGAAGATCTATGACAGAATATTTGAATACTTACCGCTTTAGCAACCTGGATCATCAACAACCGGTGAGTTAATGGATAGCCTCGAGATCCATCTTTCTTTAATAAAATTTCAGTGCAAGTATCAAGAAGTTCACAGTCATTTTTAACTAACATCCCTAAACAATAATCACTTTCACGTTCTTTAGGAGTTCCATGAAATATCAACTCAAGTGTCTCATATTCAGGAATGGTAATTTTTTCCCTAGGTTTAGTCTTTGTAAAGTGACGTTTCCAATTAATTGGATGAATCCAAATGGCAGAATCTAAAATCACTTCTATAACTATCAAAAAATAGGGATTATATGCAAAATGAAGTTTATGGAATTATTGTAAAAAATATTTCCTTTTTATTACTTACGTTTGTTAGATGGATATTTTAAAAGAAGATTTTTCTTTCCTTGGGTACAAGACGTTTTACATAATTTAAAAAGTTGATCTAAGCGATATCGTTGATCAACGTTGAGAGATTTGATGTTATTAGATGATAAAGCAGCAGATAAGTGTGCTATATTAATTTAAAATTATTTATAATACTTAAATAATATTAAATGAAAATTCATTGAATTTAATATCTACCTTCTGCTAATGATAAACCAAAAATGGTATCTAAATTTGTTTGTTTGGGTCTATCACTTAAAAACTTTATATCTTCGTACAAAACGAAAGTAATATTAGCTTTAGTGAAACAGAAAAATTTTTTGTTAATAAAAATATTATTTATAATTCATGGAATAAAAAGGTATATATAATTAGAGTTAGAAAAATAATACAACCAAGATAGCCGATAGTAGTATCTAAGGTAGAACACTTTACACTGTGCAGCATCAACCAAAGAAGGAAACACTCTTGAAGAATCATCTCTATCAACTGCTTCCTCTCAGTGAAAGCAATGGAGACTATCGAGAAATAAAAGCTACTTAATATCAATACTTGTATCTCTAGTAATCCTTAACATAAATTTTCTTGATTTTATTGAATTCTCGAATGTTAAATAAATCTCTCAACACATTTTCATTACACTTAATACTGAAATATTACCCGCAGTTCGAGTGACACTATCAATAAAGACATTCTTCGTTTTATTCCTCATTGAAAGGTTCATCTAGAATCGTTAATCATTTATTAAGAAATCACTCATTAAAATGTAACTCAATTTTATTAAAGACACTTCTTATGAATAATACATTCATTTTCGATGGCAAAAAAAATTGTGAGATTGAATGTTTGATTGAATTCCTTTACAAACAACTAGGGTGATACATTTTGATATAAGATTGAGAAACACATCCTTTGACATCTCTAGATAAGTTAACACATTGTCCTGCCTCTTGTTTTTTCTATAAAAATAATTGAATTTTAAATTATAAAATTCCTTTCAAAGAATATTTATTTGTGAATAAAACTTGCCTCATAGTAATCAATAAAACAAGATATTTCAGCATTTGAATCCTGAATGCCAGGCAATTCTTTTCGAATAGATTCACCCTGCGATATTTCAAATTTTTAAATAAGCATCAAATATAAAGATTAAATTATAAAAAATAATTGTTTAAAATATTTACCGGTAGAAAAATTAAATTATCATCTGTTTTAGAATGTTTTGTACTTATAACATTACTTGATAAACAGACAACAAACCAAAAACTTATCAATAAAGTTTTAAATACAAGAAACATCTCAATTAATATTGAACAATCAAAAAATCGTTTCAATTCAACAACTTCTCGTTAGATCAAGATACAAGTCGAATGTATGATCCTTATATACTTAAGTAGAAGCCTTATGGTTCTTTCAATTAAAAAACAAGGCTTCATTGATTTTGTAACATGATTAATGAACTCTTCAAAAATTTTTAATCATTACCTATTGTAATACTTGTATATTATTTACTCAACTGGCTCGACAATCTGATATATAGTCGAAAAAATACCAAAACAGAACCAATTACTAAACAAAAAAAAATATTGTACATATATAAATTATTTTGAATAGTCAAAAACTTTATTTTATCTTTAGGTAATGTATGACATGATATCTCACTTTAATTTGTGAATTATGATATTGATCATTATTTCTATATGATGATTATCAAAAAATAATAAAATTAGTTTATAACGATAAAATATTAATTCTCTGGATTATCGACATTAACATGAACATCAATCTCTAGTTGCATTCTCACATCCATCACAACGAATGCAGCTACCATAAGAACTGGTAATCGTAATCTGGATTTCCATCCTAACTTTAACATGAAAATTAAAGCACGATGAAAAACTCCTCCAGGAGGTAAAATCGATATTGTAGCCATATTATTGTGTATTTTGTATTAGCATTTTTTGTTCTCAATTTATTTTTGAAAACTTAACCTCCAAAATAATATAATCACCATTCCTTTTATTACCTATAAAAGTTTATAACGACAATAAATCTTATTTATTTTTCTTTATTAATATATTTTAAATTAAACGAAACTAAATGTTACCTCAATGTATTTTAACAGATGGTTTTTACATCAGTACAAGTGTTTACTAAATAATAAATTTGTAATTTGACAACACTATTATTTAATCACTCCCAATAATTTTCTTATTCCTTTTTATTTCTATAGAATATCCGTTAAAATAATTACGTTTTATCAACCTCAACACTGTATTAAAAAAATATTCTGTAAGCATATAATTGTTATGGTATCACAAAATTTCATCAATTCAAAAAATATCTATATATGACGTCAGATAAAATCAAATATCTACCTTGTTTGATAATTTTGAAACATAATTAAATTTTTATAAACGTAATTTCAATAAAGGAACAATTGTCATTTGACGTATGAGTATTTTATTTATTTTCTAGTTATACACAAACCAGTGCAAATTTAAGGTGGCGCTCAAATCGACATCCCCGATGAAAATATGAGGATACAAAATTATCACATGAACCAATTAATTAACTGCAATGCTCCAAAAGTAGTTTTTAGTCTTTTATTAAAATTATCTTTTAGTTTTTTACAATTATCTACTAAGTATTATATATTTAAATCAATTAATTATTTATACAACAATATTTTTCTATTTTTATACTAATTTAACAATATGTATATTTTTATGAAAAATTTTTACATTTACTAAAAATATCTAATCTTTCTGGATTTGCATTGATATAAAAATATAGCATGCACTTTGCCCTGTTGCACAAATAATATTCTTATCACTGAATATAAAAGTGACATCGTCGTCAGTAATCTGTTAACATCTACATATTGAATAATTAAACTCTACTTCAAACAAAAATAATGGATATTTCATTTGCATCTAAACGTATCTTAGTTACTGGTGCTGGTCAAGGTAATTATCGTTATAAATAAAATTAATTTATAGTTTACTAAAAGAAAAAAAAATTGATAATTATCCTACCAATTAAATAGGAATCGGTAGAGAATTAGCATTACGTTTATCCAAATGTCATGGAACAGTTATTGCACTTTCAAAGACCAAAGAACACTTGGAAACTCTGAAAAAAGAAGACCCAAAGATTCAAATAATTACTGTTGATATTTCCGATTGGGATGCCACACGGAAAGCTATCAAAGGAGTGCTACCAATTCATATGCTAGTTAATAATGCTGCTGTAGCTTGTCTTCATCCATTTTTGGAATTAACTCAGGAACATTTTGATTTAACAATGAATGTCAATGTGAAAGCTATGTTCAATATTTCTCAAGTGGTTGCTGCAGAAATGATACGTCTAAAATATCCTGGAAGTATCGTTAATGTTTCTTCACAAGCAAGTACAACTGCTATAAAAGATCATGCTGTTTACTGTACTTCTAAAGGAGCAGTTGATATGTTAACCAAGTATTGACAATTATTATTCTTTTATCAGACCTAAATTATTTATTTAACTCCAATCAATACATTAAAAAACATAAATTATTTCTAGATCAATGGCTTTAGAACTGGGTCCTCATAAAATTCGAGTAAATTCTGTCAATCCAACAGTAGTTATGACTGCAATGGGAAAATTAGGATGGGAAAATCCTGCAAAAGCTAAAACTATGTTAGATCGAATCCCACTAGGTCGATTTGCTGGTAAGAATTCGTGTAGTATTTATGTTTTTTAAGGCTTTGAATATTAATAACTATTTGTCTAAAATATTACAGAGGTGAATGAAGTAATAGATGCTATTATTTTCTTACTGAGTGACCACAGTTCAATGACTACTGGAGCAATGTTGCCAGTTGATGGTGGTTTTCTAGCAGCATAAATAATAAAAATCTTCCTATAAGTAACGAAGAACTTGTGTTATGTTCCAGATGTATTTTTAGTATACATAAATAAATCAAGAGGATTTTAAATAAATGTATGCAATTTTTCTCCCAATCAGTTTACTTTCGTTCCAAAAAACCTATTATGTACATAAACATACATTCATTCTCTCAGACGTTCCATCAGTAGTAATTGTAGTAGACAAATATAATGATCATGATCAACTATAATAAACATAATAATATAGAATAATTAATCAATTAAGCGACACTTGATATTATTATAAGATCAACATACAGAGTTTTTAGTTTGTCATGGAAAATGAGAATAAGTATTATTAATGCGTATTGCACGCCATCATGGAAAAAATAAATACATGTATGTAATAAGAATCATTTCCACTGGTATCATTTGCAAGTTTACCAACTCTTTTCTATTGCAAAACATTGGTTATATTAATCATAATATTATTATTATTATAACTATATAAAACACAAAAAAAAAGTATAGAAGTAACTCGATTTGCCGCAACAAAAAATACAATAAAAAACATATAGAAAAAAAATTAGTAATGATATTATTGATTATCAGTAATAACTTATTTATCAAATGGTTATTGAGTAGCATGATAATAACATATTGACTTGATATTTTTAGTTTTCGTATAGTACACAAAAAGTTTACAAATCAGTATACAGACAAGTTTTGTTTTGTTTTGTTCTTTTTTTTTTTTTTTTTACCACGTTGCACGTTTACATTTACCCTTTTTCTTTCATACTTACGTTAGATTATTCTACTTATCATATAAATCCTTAACTGTTTATTATTATTCATAATATAAGTTGTATATAATATATACAAATTGTTTGATTCGTTACAGTGATTATACATTTAAAATATATCATTGCCATTACCACTATTTTCGACTCTTATTCAATAATTTCTTAAATCCTGCCAGCATTATTGTATGCTATTTGTTATTAGCACATTTTTCTTATAGGCCTTTGAAAGAATGATTTTGCTTGATTAAAAACAACAAAAATACTACGTTTTATTCATCAAAGTGTAGAATGAATACAAAAAATACTGGCAAAGTTGAATGAATTTAATTAAAAATTTAATTTCAAAAGTACTGTTTTATATTTTTGGATTAAAATCAATTTATTACTTAAATTATCAATTTTACTAATATCAAAAGTTATTTAAGCTAATATTATAATTTGTTACCGGTCACCTCGAGACAACTACCGGATATTTAACAATTCTCAAGAATAACAAAGACAAGACAAACGTAACAATTTTCAAGTAATCAGTCATTTTTATGAAGATTGAGAACAACTTATGAGACGAATCATAATTGCGCATGGAATTATACTGGCAGTGTTTTATGTATATTCAATTATTTTTTTTTTTTTTATATTTTATAATTTTACTACGCAAAGTTAATGAAAAAACTTATAATAATAAATTCAATTATAAATAAAAGATCATAAAAATTTGTAAAATTAATTGATTCCATCTCGGGAAAACCGGCATAAATATATTATAGTTATAATGTAGCGATGACAGTTTAGCGAATGGCATTAAATATAATAATTGCGAATAGTAACAATAATAGCAGCAGTGATAATTAATTGCGCACGGTCAGAAAAATGCAACATAAATGTTTTTACCTATAGAGAAAGTTCATGCTTCAAAATGATGTATTTTTACATATTTGTTTTCACCATTTTTCAAAGTTTTCTTCTACCTATAATGCATTCAATTTTTTTTTTTATACAATTAAAATACTTTTGTAATTATAAAGTAAATTTTTTTAGCGTTCAAACAATTATATTAATGCTACAAATTTAATCTGCGAATATTATTTTAATTTGTTTTTCTCCCACACAATATCATTTTAATGTTTTTTCTTTTCATTGTTTCAATTCACACGTTTATTTATTTCGATGATGATATAATAGTAAAAGCGAGAGCTTGTCACTTGGTCAATAAAAAATATTTCAGTCGTCAAGTTCTCGTGTCTTCGACTTCCAATTTTACAATTTATTTTTTTTTTAATGTTGGAAATGACAAAATTGCATAAAATGAGCACATATATGTTCCACCGAATGCTCACAGGTTGAGCACGTAAAAACATACAAATATTATATAGAAATGAATATAAATTTGATAACACACACTGACAATTTATCACACGTTATTGATAACTTATAAATATCAAATACGTTTAAGTGTCACATACGAACAGTCCTTCAGTAGCTATCAAATAATAATTGTGAAAAATAAGGAAAATTCAAGCAGCTATTCAGGCATCGAACATTAATCAACTACTTTCCTATTCTTGATATTTATACTCCTAATTCTTCATTTTAGGTATGTTTCACACATTAATTTGTTAATTGTTATCGATCAGAAACTTCAATTACTCGTTGCTTTATTTATATCAATTAATAGTTCGTCTGGGCACCACCACCACCATCACAACGAAGTTGAAGAAATTCATCACATTGACGCTTTCAGATTTTATAAAATACACATAAGGTGACATTAAAATAGATATCACTGTGTTAAGCTTTCAAGACAATCTGAAACTGTCTGGTCTGTTTATAAATATTGTTTATCAAGTCTGTAAATAAACGATCTACCACTTTTACTTTATTTTCAAGTAAACGAGCGGAAAAGTAATTGAGTAACCATCTTTCTCTAAAATTTCACGTTTCAGTTTGATATTATGTACTCAAGATATTTTTATATAAATTTTTACCTTTACGATAATAAAGATTTTTCTCCATGAAAAGAATGAATGATTTTTTATCATTAATCTTGTCAGCCCTTTTTATTTTCGAGCAAAATCTTTTATCATGAGCTTCGAAGTCCGTTTTGCTACGATAAAAGAATTACTTTTGCTTCCCTTTATTCTATTTTGCAGCAGAATATTTGAAAGAATTATTATTTTCCTCATCATATGTTCAACACAATTTTGTTTCACACTAGAATCGTAGCACACAGATTACCTGGAAGAAGTAATGAAAAATGTAATTTTTGGTCAACATTTAGCATAATCTTACCTTAATTTATAATAACTCGACATTTTCTCTTTACATGCAATAATAGTATTTACTTGTAAGCAAATTATTACTTCAAAACTAAGTAATTAAATAAGATGATCAAGAAATATAAAATTATAATTTAATTTTAACAGTAACAATTATTACAATTAATAGTAACTTCACTATAATCATCTTCAATATAATAAAATAAATAGCATCGTAATGCAATACTCTATCAAAACAGAATCGAACCGAATAACTTAAATTGTGCTAAACAATTCTATGTAACTCACATTAATTTTGGCGCTTGTCTACGATGCACTCGCATGCTGCTCGCTCGATAGTTATGAAGTTCCTTACCGGTTGCTGAAAGAGATCATTCAGATAAAACACAACTCTGCAAAGAAAGCCAAAAAAAAAGTAGGGAAAATGCAAGACATTTAATACATTAGAGCCATTCTGAAGATATTTTTGATCATAAATTTGGCCTCTAATGAATAAATTCTTGATTGGCATCAATATTACTTATAATTGGGTTCAATGCAATTTTTTCATGCCTGATTAAAAATAAATTTGTTCATCCCTTTAAAAAGATCTTTTTTTCCAAGATTCATAGTTAAATGATTTATTAATACTTTTATTATATTGATCGTGCATTAATCCAGTATTCTTCTTATTATAATATTGTTTAAGGGTCAATAGTCATGCGATGATAAAGGTCGAAGCAATAAACAAAAAATTCTATTCAACACGAAGTTCCAAAAACTGTTTAAAGTATTCAAAAAATACCCACCAATTAAACCCTATTAATCATTACTTAATTGTGATCCTTTTTTTGTTTCTTATAAAAATAGTGAAAATAAACTTTCACTAATTAAATAAAGGAGGATCTTTCGCGCTTGGCCGTTCAAATGGAAAATAAGAAGAACTATTGGAATAAATAAATAAGTATGTACACAATGTACAAATGATTATGAATTATGACTGTAAATTGAATCTGTTTGAATTGGAACTTTGAATCATAGGCGAGCGGTTTTTCCATTCAAGCCAAGAGAGAAAAATTTTGACAAGGATATTACGATAATTTCGTGTGGAATACAGTGAAATAAATAAAAAAAAACAAACCAGTCCTTGAATGGAAAAACATTTATTTCTACTTTCTTCAGATCATCCTTAAAAAACAGTCATTTTACATAAGATGACATGAAAAACTCATGAAAAAGTGAATGGGCAAAATAAAGAAGAAAGAAACACGCCTTAATTATATAATAAATGAAAAGAAAAGAAGTAGAAAGTAGGAAACGATCATTATTTGTGAAAATAAATGAATAATTAGTTATCATTGTATTCTTTAAATTCGTTAAACAAGCTTTTTTCCCTCTATCTACTTCAATTCTTTGAAAAACAAAACATACAATTAATGAACTTATGAGCGTAAAATGTATGTAATAATTGTGACATGAACACATGTTTGTTTTTAAAAATATTACTAACATAAAGTAAACGTTTAAAAATTTTTTGCCAATTAAAGGCTTCTTAAAATCAGTCCATTTAAAAGTATTCTAAAGAAATAGTAATTAGAATACATGAAAAATCAAATTATCTTGATTAAACTACACGAATTAAGAATATTTCTTTGATGTATAAATAGAAGCACGATTATTTTTTATTATTACGTGTCATCAAAAAATTAATAATTACGATTGTTTATAAGTTTCAAAAAAACTTACTTGATCTATAGGTTTGGTGTTATTTATGTACATAGAGATGAGTATTTTATTTTTAATACACAGTACTGTAGATATTTTAAAATTTGGCATATGACTTGTATACGCGTAGATTATTAACTTAAAAAAGCTACAAAAACAATAATAATTAGTCAAGTATTATTGCCTAAATATTGACGAGAAAAAAATTGCATTGTAATGTGGTTAACCCATGATTATTAATCAATTATTTATGAAAATAATATTCACTAAGTAGATAGTAATGATCTACGAAATTCATTTAAAGAAAAAATTAATCTAAAATATGTAAAGACATCACAACATAGTCATTTTGATAAAAAAAAAAAAAGAACAATCAAATGACATTGAACTTTGATTAAAATATTTTTCCTAAAATATCTAGGAAAGAATGATATTTATGTGGTATTCAACGATGGTAGAGAGAGGATCGGTTTAAATGCAGATACAGACAAAAAGATCAAACAAAATTCCTTTTAAAATATCCATATTTCCTTGTGGTTTAATACGCCGAAATGAATCTACGTGACTACGTACATCTAAATCACCATGAACATTCCATTCTAAATAGTTCTTTTCACCATTAATGAACTCTGCATTATTAAAACCATCAACTTGATTTTGTAAATTTTGTATATATAGTCGTCCTAATTGACTAATAGAATAGCCCATTTCTAAACTATCTTTATTACCGCTGGTTTCATTAGTGTTAATGCTTAATTTGTCATGTTCTTTAACAGTCTTATTATTTTTTATTTCAATCTTATAATTGTTTACTTCATTAATATCACTCGATTTTCGTTGTATTAAATGTTCCCGTTTCGGGCGATTTTCATCAAAAAAATCACTCTTTAAGTCAAGGGCTTTAACATCAAAAAAATCTCTCTCTTCATGTTTTTGTAAAAAATATTGATCTTTTTCGTGATCATTTTGTAAATTATCAGTACATGAATCATTTTGTTTTAATAAATCTTGATTACGATCGCGATTTTTTGGTAAAATGTGTAAACTACGTCCGACACGTTGAAGGAAACTCGGTCGTTTACGTTTAATATTTGAATTTTCTGATTTTTTAGATTTTTGAGCTGAATCTAAACTTCTTTGTTTACTATGACAAAATGGCAATTTTGCAGTATCATCAGGAAAATTATCAAGACTTTTAGCATCCATAGTAGCATAGTCAACACTCCGTTCTAAGGACTCTAAACTTTTGTGAATTTTATCTTTGCTCCGAAAAGAAAATGTCCGTTGTTTGGATGAAGCAGCGGCTTGTAAAAGTTCTATACTACTTTTTTTGAAGATTTCCCCTTCTCTTTCAGTGAACTCAATATTACCTGAGTCACGTTGTTCATAAATCAGTTGTTTTCGACTACTCATAATAGATGTTGTACCGTCAGCTAAGTTGTCTCCTTTTTCCGACGCATCAAACAAATGTGTGTGATGTTCATTTTCTTGTAAAAAATCCGTGAATGCAGTTGCTAGTCTGTTTTCTGTTGCTTCCGCATTACCGATAAATCCCTCAACCATCGTCGACGTTCCACGATCTATGTTTTTCTGAGTTTTATGCCCATGAAAAAAATAACTCTGTTTGTCCATGCGATGTGCTTCCGCGTTAGGACTCCTTTCAGGAAGTCTTGTAATCGATTGATAATGGTTACGTGATTGTCCGGAGCTGTATTCAGCTCTATTACGACCGATATCGCGTTGTCCAAGAGAAAGACCCGTTAAATCTAGAGATTCGGGATCGGGTGTAGCTTTACTAGGGCTAGATTTGAATGTGCTGAATCTATAAGCACTTGCAGTAGCCGTTGGGTCATGGCTTACAGTTTGCGACAGCCCACTTGTCGGTGTCGCATTCCTACAATCGACGATTGCTCGTTGCTGTCTAGTGCATAACTTTTGGTAGAATTGTATTTTACCTTGAAGATCGCCCTTCTCTTGGTCCTCTTGATCTGCTTCAGGCTTCTGTCGACATCCAGAAGTGCTTACTGTTGGTCCACCTGCTGTACCCGAAGCATTTGCAAGACATTGGCGTGTGTAAACCCTGTAAAAAATTTATTCCAATTAAATTTTTGTATTATAGAATTTCGCTACACCATCCACATACTCATTGACGATTCATTGACCCAAGACGACGAGAATAGATTTCGCGAACGCGACATGTTACTATTTATAGACTTTGAGTTTGAACCAGTACGTCGACACTAAGTAAATCTAGTTACTTCATTATGATGATCCATAAAAAATGTATATTGAAATACTGACCTAGACGGGTGTTCTTGTTCGTTATTAGTTCCTGAAGATAGTGGAACATTAGCTGGCTGTGAATGAGTAGGCGCCTGTTGTGCCGCTGGTAATGCTTGTTGTCTTGCATTACCAAACTTGAGCATATTCCAGTCAAAAACATAATCATAGGTGAAAGTCTCGTGATGAAAAAGCGTGCGAAATAGCTGCCGTAAATATGAATAGTCTGGTCTCTCTTCAAAACGTATCTGTCGACAGTACCTAAGGTACTTTGCAAACTCAACTGTTTAAATTTTAAAAAGCTAGATTAGTAACACCAAAATAAATATTTCAAACTAATTAATGGGATTATTTATACCAGGATATCCTTGGCAAAGTTCATCGATAGGTGTTGACATTTTTTTCTCAGATATTCGTTCATATTTTTGTCTCTTGGTAGCTGCCTTAAGTCCTTGCCACGGTAAACTACCAATATTAAAGTACATAAACACATAACCTAATGATTCGAGATCATCTCTCCGGGATTGTTCAATTCCCATATGTGTATTTATACTTGCATATCTAAATATGTATTAGTCAAATTCAAATTAGAATTATAAACAACTTCTAAATAAACAAAAATAATCATTTAAAAAATTAATAATATATACTGACCGTGCAGTTCCTGTGAGATTCTTGTTTTCTCGATAAGGTATATGCCTAAGAGTGCGACCATCACGATACTTTTTCGCCAACCCAAAGTCTATAATGTACACAAGATTACCTTTTTTTCCTAATCCCATTAAAAAATTGTCAGGTTTAATATCGCGATGGATAAAATTACGACTATGAATGAAATCAGTTCTGCTTATCTGGAAAAGAAAAAGATAAACATTAAAATATAAGCTTATTGTGTTCATAGATAGCTCATTATTGAAGTAATAAAGTGTTTACAATAAAAGTAGATAAAATATTAGAGACCTTGTCAAAAAAAAACTGATAAGAATATACTGCATCGATATTATGTACATAAACGACTCATATGGCCATGTCAATAACCTTGCATTGTTGAATTATGCACACATTATTGATAAAGCTATTCAATGAATAAATTGATTATTAATTAACTGTCTTGTGTGAATCTGTGTTACCGTCTATGAGAATTTTGTTTTAGTATTTAATCTATACTATTTCACTACAAAAAGGTTAACTACAATAATGATATAATAAATGTTATGAAAGCATTTTCAATTGAATAGAATTTCAATAGTTTAAAGAAATTAATCAACAAAAAATTAAGTGAAATCATGATAGGTGTCGACAGCATATAAGGATTATTTTTTGTCTTAGAGAACTTGTTACAGACAGCAACAGATTGGAGTAAAGCTAACATGACCCACTTGGATGTGAGAATAAGTAGAGCATAACTTAGGTAGACGAAATTTGAATTGGTTGCGTGATAAAAGCATTCACTTGCTAGCTGAGAAACGTCTTAAAAGTTGTCTTAGAATGTGGTCCTTGTAAGGTCTCGATTATGATGACTCACCATTTGATCCGCTAGAAGTAGAACCGTTTTGAGTGTGAACCGACGAGAACAAAAATTAAAAAGATCTTCTAATGATGGGCCTAGTAACTCCATCACCATTACGTTATAATCACCCTCTGATCCGCACCATTTTACGGTAGGGATCCCAACTAAAAGAAAATAAATATCAATATGATGTCTACACTCTTCACTAAAAGCATGATTTAAGTAACAACTGGGTTGTTGTCATTTTTGATTACATACCACCACCCTGCATCATCTTGTAGAATCTTGACTCTATGTGTAATTGTGGATGTCGTGTTTTTATGCATTCCAGCTTGATGGCGACTTCTTCGCCTGTAGAGACGTTGGTGCCTGATGTAACAAAGAAAAAGATTCATGAGTTGTGGATTGAGGGTGGGGTAGCAACTAAGTAATGGAAAAGCAATTATTAAACAATATAAATAATGAGTTATATCTAACGGAATTGAAATATGTTAAAAGTTTATAGGCAATAAGAAATTCTGTGTTTGGATATAGTGAAGATGTTGAAGGAGACTATGATAGGTGGGGGAGCAAGGAGATTACCAAGGAAGTCATAGTTACCTAGATAAATGTCGCCGAAGGAACCGCTCCCGATTTTTCGTCCGAGTCGGTATCTGCTGCCGACGCGGAGCTCCATACCTGGTGCAGCCTCTGGCCGCGTGCTGACCGAACAACGTGCGTCTATCTTGATGCTCTTTGAATCCGCGTGTCGTCGTTCACAGTATAAGTTTCTACAGTGCCGCTTTAGAGGGTCGGGGGGGCCTCGATCTCCATCTTTGATCGTGCTTCCGCTCGTGGACTCATGGACATTATTTTCTTCTTTCTCCGTAACTAATCTTTTCTTGTGTTGCACGTTTGGGGCGTTGCTGTCTTGCGCGACACTTGCGCCATCTACGTAATAATAAAAGAGGGCACCACTAACCACAATCAAAATTTTCAAATTCTTTATTCAATTACAAATATTTCAAATATTTTCTTCACGTATTTACGAAATAAAATAAGAAAAATTATTTATTAAATTTAATTCTGTAGAAAAATTCTAATATTTTTTATTACTTTATTGAAATTAAAACGATTCAAAATTCATACATTTCAAGAAAAAATAATTAGTATAAAATAAAATAGGAAAATAAGAAGAAAAGAATATAATATATACGAGAATAATTTAATATTAACTTTTTATTTATTGTTGCAATTTTCGATACCATTATTCTATGGCAATTATTATTTACCGATATCATACACATGTTCAATTACAAAATTCGGGACCTCATTGAGTTATAGTAACATAAATTTTTTTTTTCATTTCGGTAACTGAATTTTTTTAAAAATAAGATATTAGAATAATTTTTTTTCATCGGCTAACAAATGTAGAATCGGTAAAAATATATATCTACAAAGGCCCCAATCAAACAATTAATAAAATGGACAAATTAAAATTTTTAATTAGAACCTAAAATTAAAAAAAAACGTCGTAAAAAACATATAGTCATAGTTTAAAACAATCCTTGAAGAGTATACAATTGTATCCCATTGTAACCCTTAAATGATTACAAATTTTCAGTAATCTTAACATAAAAATGTAATTTGTCTACATTTATTTTTTTATATAATAAAAAATAGGTGAAATAAGATATAAATTTAATTAATATTAGTAATGTTAAAAAATAAAGTGTCACTTTTTGTTTTAATAGATACAGTCACGAGCTATGAAAAAGACATAATAACTTATAATTATGTAATATTAATAAAAAATATACATATTTTTAATTTTATCTTTTGTTTATAGTTAATTCCGTGGCATTTTAATTTTAATTTTTACTTGATTTTATAATTATTTTAGAACATAATAAAATTAATGTTTTACAACAATAGCAATTTATATAAAAAAAATTCAATTATAAATTGAAGCATCGTGAGCTGCTCTTAACTTGAAATACTGATTTATAATGTACTGGTTTTTTTTCAATTTCTCTCTCAAGTATTTTTTATCGTCAATAAATGCAATACAAAGTCTATCTAGGCCGATAATTGAATTTCACTCATTGATTCTGCAAAAAGTCTAGTTTAGTGTTATTCATCATATCGACAAATTTCTGTATTTATTGCATTGATATAAAATGCATAAAAAACTTGGTCAGTGTAGTTCTAAAACATTTGTTTTTTTCATTAAAAAAATTTTCATCTTGTCTTAAGTTTTCAAATTTTTCGTACCATTGCTTATAAGTATATTATTATTGTGGAGTAAAAATCTAGATTTTCTTTTAAATAAACTCTATTGGTGTATAAATTCTATCTATCATTGCTGTGTACACTTTCGTTTATCATTTTAAAAAATTTCAATAACCAAAGCTTTTTTGCTTTGATTCTCATTTCGTGCATGCATGATCGCACCGTTGTTAGAAAATAAATTTTTAATAATATTGGAAGCAATTTTAAGAGCTAACTTCTTCAGGTCTTGTCATCGGAGTTTTCGTTTTTTCAGTGGTGATTGTGATTGTCTGAACTTCCAAATTTGCAAGATCTGCAGCACTAATCTATAAAAAATATTAAAAACTCATTCAATAAACTTATGCATAGTAATTGATATCATTTTTCAGTCATAAGAAGTACATCGAGTGATAAAGATGAACAAAAAGACAAACAATGAACATAATAGTGAGCAAAACACAGCAGAAGCAATTCATCATGATAATCAATTAAAAGATATTCAAATAAAAATTAATTAAAGAAAAAATGTATGTCCGCTGACCTCAACATCTGGTGGTAGTGTGATAGTAGCATGTGTTGTTGTGGTTTCAGTACCAGAATTTATTTCTCGTTCTACTGTAGTGCCTATGGATGAAAATAAATGTAGGATAGGGAATATATAAAAATATAAATTAAAATTATCATAGACTAACAGATGTAAATTAAATTTTAAATAAACCTATTAGGTAAATAAAATGTAAATTAAATCACAACCGTTATTTCATTTAATCTTAAGAATGTCACTCACTATTAACTTGTTGGGATTCACTTGTCTGGTTCGTTTCAACCTCACCGTTGGCAGTGCCGTTGCTTGAAGTCTGTGAAATTATAGTCGTTGTTTTAACCACTAGTGATTGATTTTGCGTTGATATCTCAGATGTACGAGACGTTACTTCCATTTTCAGTCCTGCAAGTCGATTATGTAGATCCTCTGAAGATGTAGCATTTCTGAAAAGCGAACTGTTACTGCCAAGAGATGGCAAGTAGACAAAAAATAAAAAATAAAAATTAGATAACGAACAAAATAAATAAAAAGAAATAAAAGTTCTAAGTTTTAAAATTTTTAATTAGTAAAATTATTTGAATTATGTACTTACAGTAAATGATCCTTAACGCTGTCTATTGTTATATCACCAATAGAACTTATGTCTTGACGATCTTCTTCGCCATTAACATCAGTATTGCTTGCTGTTGGTCGAAGAGTTGAATTCTTAGATGTTTCACCGCTACCTGCTAAAATTTCATACATAAAAAGGTTTAAATATCACTTCCGTTGCACTTTGTTTTCACTAGTCTTTTCTAGTCTTTTCACAACCTGTTTTCATTATTAAATTAATTTTTAAAAAGCACACAAGCATAGCAAAACAATAGATACATTATACAGTATAAATGAAGCTTTATGAATGTTATAAGTGATGTAAAATATGACATTTTGATATCTGTACTATAATTCAGTACACATAAATATTAGCACATATTCATTTAATTAAATTCGTTAGAAAAAATAGACTTACTTGATTCTGCAATACCATTTTCTACAATAACTTTAGTGGAAGGAGAAGCTTCATTATCTTGCGTTTCTGTTTCTTTTTTAGAAATCGTTTCAGTAGTCGTCTCCTCTTGAACTTCTTCAGTCGGTGGTGGTTCCGGTGCTGAACGAGCATTTGGTGGTAAATTTAAGGCACAGTGCGCTTTTGTAACTTTTGTCGCTGATAAAGAAATGCGTTGGAGTTCTGAACTGGAATGGAGATACAGAGCTTCACCTCCTTTTGTGAATGTTAACGATGAAATGCCATTAATATCTTCTCTTTTGATGGCGGCAGCATTAAGTTGTCTCCTAAGTTCTGGAATTCCCAGAACGAGACAGTCTCCAAGATTTGTAAGACACAACAGACATGTTTCTTCATGGGTACCAGATGGTTCTATGGGACATGTAAACTTGGCAAAACCAGTTTTTCGTACTCTCGATCCTTCATGAGCGGTGAGTTTATATTTGCAGAAGGGCTTCAATGATGGAAGATTGAATATCTTAAATTGTTCTTCACTGGCAATTACAACCCTATGAGGCGCGGTCATATCCGGTCCCGTAGTCACGCCCTTCTCCGCCTCAAATGGTTCCGGTAATGGAACATTCGAACCATCGAGTATTGTTATTGCAATTACGGGAGCACGATGCTTCAATTGTATCTCTTTTCCGAGTGTACAATTTACATCTTCTTCGTTCCGCCTCACTCCAGCAGGAATAGCGAGTGTAAAAACGTACACTGTACCGTTATTGGTACCTGCCCAAAGAGTAGGCGTCGTATTCTGCATACTGATTATAAAACTACGCGCGAAATAAAGACTCCTTACCATTGAACCTAAAGCATCATCAACTGGACGCGCTTCTACTTGTCGTTCGACTGGTTTTATATCCACAGGAGACATATCCGCACTGGGAGAAGCTGCTACAGACGATATTTCTTTCTTTTTTTCAGCTGTAATAGTATTTCTTGTTGGACTGGTATTAGCATTTGGTCGACGTTGTGATCTACCTTTTCTAAGTCTTCTAAAAGATTCTCTCAATGATTTTTTAAAGGATTTCCTTCGAGATATTGGTGTATCACCTGAGCCAGATAAATCATTGGGATTTAATGTACATTTAACACTCACAGCTTTATTTCTTATATAATCAAATACTGCAAGACCATGAGCTGTGCCTGCAGCTATTAATCCCCATTCACTGTGAATAGCTAAAGCGGTAACTGCAGCTGGAGGATAAAGTTGAAGTAAACTTTGAGGTTGAAATCCAACAGCAAATGTAATTGATGCTGTTCTTACTGGTAAATGATCATGTCCTTTCCATACAAAACCATCTCTGTCATTTACAATATTCATTGTAACAGCTTTTATTTCTTTCGTTACGCTTTCAGCAGAAATATTTGCTGTAATTATATGACCAGCAGTACCGGCAACAACAAGGGTTGAAGTAAGTGGGCAGAGCATGACTTTTTTTACTGCAAGACGTGGATCATCAGAGTAAGGATCGAAAGTACCAACTTTTCTAAAAGGTGGCCACTCATCTTCTTCATCTTCTTGTGGTTGTTCAAGCACATCAAGATGCTCACCAGTGAAAATAAGTGAAGAGTTATATTTATACAATGGTGTAAGAGCTACATCTGAAGCGTTCCAAAATCTAATAGTTCCATCCTCATGGCCAGTTAAAAATAGTTCCTTATATTTTGAATTTTCATTTGTAGGCTTTTGACAAAGAAGTAAACCACCATCAATTGGCCATTCTTTATTAGAATACAAATGCTCTGTTTGAGATTTGCCTGCTGATACGATAGAATCCCATAGTTCATTCGAAATGTTTGGAACATGTTGAGAACAAGTTACCTAACAAAAATGATCACAAGATGATTTAAAAATAATAATTTCAGTAAATATTTTGAAACTGAAAATAATAACTTACAGCGCTGGCATGAAGGGAAACAAGGTATGGTAATGCCATCATTTTCCAATCGGGATCGGTAAGATCAATAGCAATAACTTCTTCTTCCGCAAGTATTATTAATGCTTCTGGAGATTTTAATGATTCTTTGTTGTCTTCATCAATCTTCGGCATAATCACAAAGAAGTCGATCACCTTGGAAGTCAAGTCGAAGACAACATGTTTCGTTTTTGTCATTGCTGTAATAGTGTGACGATCTCCGTAGCTCGAACGTGGCATTCCACCCGAGAATAAAATAATCTCATCATCACTGTAGAGTTCAAAAAAATCTCTATAGTACATAGTAAACCACTGATGTTAAAATTACAAAAAAATGTTAACTCACTCTGACGTAGCATATACTAGAATTTTGGTTACTGCTTTGCACGGGAATGGACCATAAAGTGTTGTCGGCTCTGATGTAACATCACTTCCCGGGCTCCAAAATGTATAAGATCCATCATTATGTGATGAAACAAATTTGTTTTCCGACACCCAGTGGACTGATTCTAGTTGTTGTGCAGAAACGAATGTCTGTGCACGCGAAAATAAACCCATCAGCTGCACATACACGTTCGCCAAACCCACCAAACACAAATAACAACAAAAAACAATTTACAACTGACTGATAATAATATTGTCTCGCAATTTGTTTTATATAACATCACAAACACCCATTTCTCACCTGTTGAGCTCCAGGTGTGGCTTTATTCCATAACACCATCAATCCTCGATTGTAACCAATCAAAATGCTATCAGGATGTCCAGGTTGTTCTGCAATAGCTTCTACAGCACCAGGATTTTTCTTATAATCTTCAGGAACACTATCAAATAAAATAAGATTTATTAAATAATGTTTATTTATTTTATTTTATCACAAAATTAAGAAACTTACTTTTGCATAACGACGTCTTGGTATATAATATTATCAGACATAGTAAACGTTTTTACATTGAGAAGATATATGTTTCCACCTTCTGTACCAAGTAACAAGTGTTCACCAGTTGATTCCAGACACATGGCAGATATTTTCTTCAGTTTACCCTCCAACGAAAGTGATTTAGTTTCGACGACAGAATTTTCATTAATTTCCCACAAGTGTAGAGAATTATCATCGCACAGAGAAACCAGTCGACCCTAAAAAGTATTAAAGAATAATTGTAAAAATAAATTAGATAAATAAAAAACTTGCATAGTGAATTTTAATTTTGAATTTATTTATTTGATGAGTTAATAACTGTTTTTTTACTGCTACTATATTCTTAATCAGAGAGCATGTAATTATCATAATGAATTAATTACATTAAAGAATGAGTTTTACTGCTGACAACAATGATAAATAATTATCAATAAAACTAGATAATTTTAGCAATCATTTTTAGCTCTATATTTTTTTTACAAGATATTAATCATTGATAAAAAAGAAGCCTTTGGATTTTAATTAAATTTAAAACAACTCCAACACTTGAGTATTTTTACTTTTTGATCGATTTATTTTTAGCGTCAAGTGTGTTAAGTTGAGCTAATTCTGTAAAATTTACGCATGCATAGTACTATAAATTTTTATTGCAAAAGTTTAATGAAAAATGGATCTTCATTCACCCAAGTATGTATTTCTCTTTGATAAATCAGATTATTTGACCCACTACTTATGTATAATCATTGACTTCTGAGTCTTAGCCGTGTTTAGCTAAAAGGAACGATCTAATTAGTATTATCCAATTAAGATCAACATACGTAATACTATTTTTCTACTGCATACGACCGAGTTACCAGCTTGAAATGTATGCATTCAAACGAGTTGAAACTTTTTACAGTATTAAAACGAATTGAATAATGCGTAGAGGACATAAACAAAGAGAGGGAGGGGAAATGGAATGTAGTATAGAAATTCACATAAGCTGTTAATAGCACGCGTAGCTGTCATGCACATCGGTGCGTATCTAAACACATGGATGGAGGTTTTTATTTTACCCCGACTAGACGTTCATGGTGGTGGTGGCTACAATAATTGATGATACCATCATCTTTATGTGCATGTACATTGGATTGCATAGTGCACGCTACCGTTACACTACCACTGCATCCCTTTGAATTACGCAATCAACATTTTACCGAGTTCTTGCAACCGTAACACCAGGTATCGCGTTGCTATGCGTGTGATTCTTTAAACAAACAACACCAGCCCCTCTTGCGGCTTCTTTTTATTGTCAGAAAGAACTCGCACGCGCCGCGTTTATTCCCAATAAGACAATGTATATAATAAGCCAGACAGCACACTTAGCTCCCATAATTACAATTTAATTAATAGACTTTCTTTATGAAGATTCAAGTGTTTTCATTTTCATTTCAATATGCCAACCAGCTTTTCTTGTATACATTCATGTTCAAATGAAGTTTTCTATTTTTATATTATGAAAGTTGTTTAATTGACAATTTTTGGTCAAGTCCGTAGACCTCGCTAGCAACATGACTAGCAGAAAAGATATCTCTACGTCATGGGAAACGGACATTTACCGTTATTCTACACACAAAGAATCGTTATAAGCCATCATGTTAACGTTTTGATTTATTTATTCGTCTATTATTTATCGAAATCTGTTGGCTTCAATTAAAAAATTTTTCATTCTTATGAATTACTCTTCCATCAAAATCATTTTCACATTAAATTAATGATTGGAGTAGAAAGTATTTAGATTTTTATATGTAGCGGTCTTGAGAATAAATTTCATCTACTTTAGAAGAGTACAGCTATAGAATAAAATAAATACATGTAATTATAGTTAAACCATAAACTTGTGGTCTTATATTTTTACAGCTGAAAAATAGAACGTATCATTAAGCATTGAAATTATATTTAAGGTAAGTATATTTTAATTTCTTCTACTTATTGAATTATTTCCAATTAAATAGTTTTTTAAAAGTATGTATTTGCTTTTTTAATAATAGCCCAGTATATGATACACTTACCTTCATTATAATACCTGACATGGTTTACTTACTATTAACAATTGAAATATAAAACTGGAATATTTTTCATAATAATCTAATAGTAAGTATCAAAAATAAGTGGTTATTAATCATTAATTTTTTTTCTCACCTCATTTGGCAATGGAATAATTTTAGTGACTGCATTTTCACCACTTTCTGTAGCATGTTGACCGTAGAATTCGACTCCAGGTCTTCCAAAACTATTTTATTACAGTCAAGGTTCATACTTATATATTGATTGTAGATAATAAAATAAAAAACTCCGTTACAGACAAAAAAAGTTGCAAACGTGAAAAATTTAATGCTACTACACGCCGATGAGGCACATTGTTGAGCTTTAGCGTCACTCACGTTCAGCTGCTACGAATAATCATGAGCAGAGTTTCTCAAACGTAAGATGCATCAACATTAATAAACTTCTGTCACTTGTGGCGTATGTATTAATTAATTAGTTTTAATTGATAGGCTCATGTAATTACAAACTTTAATCATCTCTCAGTTACTTCAAAGACAGCTAAAATTATCACACACAAATAACAAAGATTGTTTGATGAAAAAAAAAATAAACAAAGTATCTTATTTGTTAGATTAAAAAAAGAAACTGTTGAGTAGTAGTAAAACTTTAAATTTAGAATTACAAAGTGACGGTTTTTTTTTGTTTTTAAATTTTACCGCTATATATTGCTTCTCATGACTTGGTTTAAATTTGATCAATGATGTCATGAAGACTTGGTCCTCAATTTTTCAGATAAAAAATTAGTAAGAAAAAAAGGATACACTTTGATAGCTCCAGATGCTGTTCCGATAATCATCAACCGTAGACTTGGATCCCAAGCAAGAGCTGTTGGTTTATTTGGGAAACCATGCTGAACAGTCTGAAATGAAAATAAAAAACTAGGTAATATTATATTATTCAACAAATACTTTAATCAATTAAATATAAAATATAATTTAAAAATATCTTTCTTTAGTAAATGTTGATGTTTTAGGATATTTTATTGTGTTGAAAGAAATAAAATGGAAAGTACAGGTTTTGATGGCTCATCGATACAAGATGACTCATCAGAAGATAATTTATCATACCGTATTACTTAATTTTTGTTCTCTCCTGAGCATTATATTTTATATTGCAATATCAAGGAGTTTATCTTTATTCTCAAAAGATCACAAGATCTCTTGTTGAATTAAAAAAACTTATGTGTACTTGCCGCTTAATTGAAACTCAAGTGGTGTAGATTAGACAAACGAATAAGATAGATTAACAACGAAAAGAAGTTAAAAAGTAAATATTTTTATAATAACAAAACTTGAAAAGTTCCATCGAAAATTTTCAGCACAAAATAAGGGTAAGAAGAATAGAAGGAGAAAATTTAGAAAAATGCTTAGTTTTTAAGAACACACTAGGTGGTAGTTAATGAACAGACACGTTTGAGAAGGGAACAGAACCTTATACCTGCACAAAAAAACATTTCTCCTGTTGATTCCCTACATTTTTAACTTATTCTTCAAATATGCAATACATTCCAATATTTTTGTATCAATTTTTTCATACAATATTCAACGATTGGTATTGCTGATATATGACAAATAATAAGATAACTGCATTTTAATTTAATTTGAACCTTTGTTGATACATAACAGAAAAATATCAAGTAAATATAATTATCTGTAGTCGAAAACATTAGAAAAAATGAACAAAAGTTAGTAAAAGCAAGTTTTCCCTTGCTTTGAGGAATTGTTCGAATTTGGGTGTGTCTATTTGTTTATCAATTCAATTTTGACCACGAGGACAAATAAAAGATCCTTATCATGGTGTGGTGTTCAGTTAAAACGATAAGATAGGGTACATGTATTCGAATGTTCTACACCATTTGTGTTTTAATTAAGTATTTTTTTGTATTTAGTACACTATTAGACATCAACTTAGACATTAATTGATTTATGTCATAAAAAAAATTAAATTCAATTGAAATTTCACATTAAATTTGACTTTTGATCTACGAAATGATAACAGAATTATAGTATATGAAATATGACCAATAATCATAATTAAAGAAATAAAAAATACATTAGTAAAGTATGGCTTATCGATCTCGTTATACGTGGGAAACACTAAGACATTCAAATAACGATAGAGTGGCGTCTATTTGTCTTACTATTATGTTTTGACGTATGCATTTAGAAAATTGACAAAACTACCTAAATAAAGGTTCCAATATTTCATTTAAATAATATCACATTCTAATAATTTATTTAATACCTTTTATGAAAGATAACTCAAATATACTTTAACAACTTTTTCATAGAAGGATTTCTTATTTAATTGACTTGATATCGACCTGTTGATTCCAAGTAAATTGAAGTCATGTTTATGTGAATATCCAACGAATTTTTCTTAAGTTTATTGATATTATATCAATAAATATTTGATAAGAAAACTTGGAGAGATTTTTTTTTTAAACTGTGGTAGATATAAGGAAGCAAGAAAATTTCCAGAAAGTTTTGAAAGAAGTACGTAAGAAGGAAGTGATGTTGAGGAGACTGAGCTCATGTTTCTGCATGATTCTTAGCACCGAGTCGCACCTGAGAAAGTCTGACACGCGATATAGGATGAGGAAAACGAGAGGATCGGGGCGTCGTTGTTGCAGCCACTTTGATGGTTTAACATTCCAGCTTGCGGTTATACTAGACCCAACTGGATCCAACCTTTACCTTTCTAAATGCAAAGAGATCCTTTTGCAATTTTTGGCGTTCAGCTGTTGGCTGCTGACCTTTTCCTCTGATGAACTTGAGCATTTTGTAATTTTATGATAACGCGACTGTCCTCTGTTTCTTAGATGATTTATCAACTCCACCTTTACCTTTCACTCTCGTTAAAAATGCAAAACACTGGAAGATAGTCTTCTTTGTTACTACTGAAGCTCATAACACACTTGAAACTTTGATAATTTTATTTTTAATGTTACAACAGTGCTGTTTGTTGAAGCACAATATACGCAATTAGAATATTCTTGAATGAACAGAAATTCGCGCGTGCAGCAGTGTACGATGTCGTTGTATTTGTCCGTATATGTCTGATACTCTCGCCACCCGCAGCATGTCGTTCTATTCCACTCTGATATGTCAGCCGCAGTTGTTCAGCGGCTGTTCCACTCAAAACTAATGGCTATTTGATTAATATTTAATTTCCGGAATTTTTTCAATTAAAATCTAATAATTTTAACTACTGATGCACTAATGAAACACGTCAAATAATTATAAAAGCACAAACAGGCAGCCGGAAAGTCATTCCACGTCTCTCGCGTGTTGTATGTGTCGCCCTGTTCGATGTTGCAGCCGCGTCGTCTCTTGAAACTATCCAAACTTCGGTTATTCTCGTAATCTTTCGGAAGTCATCGAGTTTGACCGGTTACGGGCGCGTCCAAACGTACGATGACCTCCAATCATTGTTGCCAATCTTTTCTTTAAAAAAATTAAATTCCATCGAGACTTTGCTTTGATTGAAGCGCCTCTTTTCAATAAATAGATGTCAGCACATGCTGGATAATTGTACAGTATAATAACTTGAATGATCTTGAACTCTCACATTACCCACCCATTGTATTCATATTTTCAATACATAAAGTTTTAGTATTTTTCTAATAAAAATTGTTTTATATGCTTATAAAATAAAAATGAATTTTGATAGCTTTAAATAAATATTATAAACATTTTGGTAAATATTTTTATATTACTTTATCGATCCATTAAATAATTTTTACGTAAAAACGAAAATATGTACATGTCAAAAAAGAGTAAAAATGTCATAAATTTATTATTAGTTTACACATCAAGTGCAAAATATGCAGCAATAAATACTCGTAAAATTTTATTTAAATTTTCTATTGTTACCATGTCAATATTAGATCTATTATCTTCTGGACGATGCCAAAATGAAGGAAATTTCGACGGAATTATATGAAGAATAGGCACATCTGTAAAATAATTTAAAATTAAATTTTAAGTAAATATTGATTTATATGATAAAAAAAAATTAATGTTTATTTTACTTCTACTGTAGAAAGGTATGTGATCATCTTCAACTTGAGATGAAACGGAGTAAGGTTTGAAATATTTTGGATCTGAAAGATCATGTGGATAATTTTGGAGTAATGTTAAATTACTCAATTTTTCTTCTGCTTGCATGAGTTGTAAATACCAGCGAGCTGTCTCATCAAAATAACTATAAAAATACATATCTGGAGCTCCTATCAGATCCAATAATACCAGCATGTCCTACACAAGAAATTCAATTTAATTGCCATTTGTGAATTCGATGAAGCATGTGACATAAAATAATTTACCATTCTATCTAAGTTACTAATATCATTTTCAGTTCCATAAGTGCGTTTAATATTATGCCATTTTTTAGCTAAGTGTCTAGCTCCATAAATTGAATCAGTCGGTCCCCAACTTTTAAATGCTTCTTCACCATCAAAGAATATGAACATCAAACTGACGTCTGTCTACCATATAATAAAAAGATTTATTAAATAGATCAAAATCATTCGAATTTATCAGAAAATATTTTAATTTTTAATGTCGTTTATACTTACAGTTTTTAAAGGTTCTAATTGTTTTTTCATGACAGTAGCTAAATTTATTAGCTGTGTACAGGGTACAGCACTATCTGTAGCCCCTACGAAATTTCCCTCTTCAGTATATTTAGAATCATAATGACAAGCTAATGCTAAATATCTTCTAGCATTTGGATTTAATGTTGCTATGATATTATCAAATTCAAGTACTCCAAAAATTGGAGTTGGGCTTTGGAAATGGTCTATGTCCACATTCCAGCCTAGATCTTTCATAGACCTATGTATATACTAGAATTTATGTCCACAAGTAAGTATAATTGTATGAACTTTCTGATGTTTTATGTAGAAAGAGAATTTTTATACTTACATCCCTAACTTTGTCATGTCCTGGACTTCCGACATTTCTTACCACACAAATGTTGTCCAAAATTTCATCAATGTTTGTAACATTAGTTAAATCATTTAATCGAATAATTTCCTCATCCGAGAGCCTTTTCGCTGTATGAAGTTGCTATAAAAAGATATTTAAAATTATATGATAAATATTAAGTAAAACATGAAAAAATTGAAGTAAACAATAGAAAGGTTAACATATGTTACAAACTTTCTCATTCCGGAAAGAAGATTTTAAGCTTTGTTGAAGAGCTATACAACTTGTTATTGTTATGAAAAGAATCAACCACATTCGAAGCATTTTACTAGCTTAAAAGTTACAATAGTACTAAATTCTTTTAGATGGAAAGCATCACGGATTGACATTAACATACTGCAACCAGAAAATGTATAGATATACACAGAAATTCTGTGACGCACACAAAAAGGCTGAAACTCTATAGTTCCATGTCCAATGCAGAGAATCCAAAAAAATTCCTTCCCTAGATGGTAATTGCACGGAAGAAACAAAACTATGAAATCTATTATGTCAACAACACAGTTTATTATTAACAGTCGGTAAGTTTGATCTCGATATAGATTGTTTGTAAACGAGTAGCGACATCACGTTTTGGCATCGCTAACTAAAAGTTTGGAAAATTTCTTTGTTATGATTCAGACAAAAAAAAAACAAATCAAGCCGGTTCGGACACTGAGACATTGTTTTTCTCGTTATTATTATTAATTACGCCGTAGATTGTCTTTGATATTATATAAAGATATTAATGAGGTTATGTTGAACGTGCATTTATACGAATTTAATTAATTTAATCTCGAAATACCGTTGCATACTGAAATGTCAACATGACAAAGCATATCATAACCATTGTGACTTTTAGTGAATGATACAGATAGCTTTTCTGCAAGGTAAGAAAATATAGATTATACAAAAGATAAATTTATTAAACTTTTTTCACATCAACAATATATAAAATACATTCTAAAGGAGGCTAGAAAAATAATTAAGGCAATGTGTGATATTATAAAAATACAAATGATCTTAAAACTCTAAAACTCCATTTTAATGGTAATAAAATCATTTAATTATTGATATCTTAAGACCCAAATCCATGATTAAACTTTGTTTTTAGGTTTAAATTTAGTATCAATAACTCCACGTTTACTCATAAAATATGACACATTTACCTAAGCCTATATTCTGAATTCAGTCCAAGTCTCATTAGTTGCTATCAATTATTTTGTTCCACAATATGATAACCCGGTGGGGGTTCATGTCTTGATGAGGATTTTTGTGATAATTTCTCATATCGGAGATCTGATAAATTATTCGAAGTCCCTTGATTGGAACCAATTAAAGTTGCCTGAAGTGAAGAAGAATTCAATTATTGGAGCTCAGTTAATTTTATTGAAAATATTCACGATAAAGCATCATGTCAATTAAATTATAAACTACCACTCATAATCTAATAAATTAGAATTCAAAAATTGAGCAAACCTGTCGAGATAGAGTAGACGATACCCATTCATTAGCTGCACGTTCTCGCCTTTTTGCGGCTTTACGATGCAGCCACCAGAACCACAAGTGGGCTATTGTTGCACTCAATAACATCAGTAGCAATAGAATCCCCAATAAAATTCTCCCATCACGAATTCCAAAGAGAAGAGCAATACCTGCTCCTGCCAGTACCACAATTAGAATCAATGCTGCTGCCAATCCTGCTCTGAATACTCCATATCTACGTTCTGAAACATTTTATTTATCCATTTTTTTTTTCTTCTCTCAGATAACAATATAGCAGTTGGACTTTAATTTGTAACCCAGTTTCTATTGAAAGAAAAAATAAAAAGGTAGTTGACGCTGTCGTACTTGTATTTCTTTGGCAACTTGATCTTCCACACAAAGACGATTCATCTATACACGTGAGACACTGACACAGCTGAGAGTACAATCAGTTACGAGTATAAACAACACTTGAATCCAACATACTTATTCTTCATCTACAATTTATTACGCTACATTTTTTGCCTAGTCTTTCAATTATTATTCGTACAAAATCTTTTTCAAGTCAATCGAATGAAAATTTTATTACCAATAAATCACCAAGATGATCATGATAATAATGATGATGATGACAAATACTACTTACCACTTGTTAGAGGAGCTGCTTCAGTTCTATCCATTTCACTTGGTGTATTCTCATTCGCCATCTCACGACTTGCCTGCAAACTATCAAAACCTTGACTTTTTCTTGATTATTTTTTACTTGTTCTCCAGGTGCAAGTTTATTACTACTGCATTTAAAGGTAAATACTTGGAGACATGTGTATTTACATAAAAAGATTGGTGATTCTATCAAAGGATTACGCAAGAATCTATCGAAATAATAATTTAATACTAATAGTTTGTACCATCATCTTTTCAATCACTTTATTCATTCCCACATAAGAGTCTTTATAAATATTTTAAGATATATTATCGCAATTATATACAATTAAAATAACATTTTCTTTAGAATCTTATGTCATTATTTTTCAATACCAACCAACTTCATCAAAATGCTCACACTCAGTCTTCTCACATTTGATAATTAACAGTTTTTAATACTCTAAAAATCTAATTTAGTATTTAACTGATAAAAACAAGTTCATATAAATAAATGACTTGATTTTTATGTACATTTCAAATTAATTTAAAATTTATAATTATACTAATTACTTGATTGATTAATTACACACGTAGTTGATAATAATATTATTAACAGTCGAGCATCGAAATCTTTTTTCATCACTTATAGAATTTATTCAATATGAATGAACGATAAAACAGATTTTTCCGCTTTAATATCTGGATCTGAGATGTGAATAAGATTCTTCTCTAGTTCAATTTTTGCAATATAAATGCAATAATTGCTTAAATAAGTGTTAGGTGTTGATACCAACGAGTTCACTGGGGTCAATTCCCGGTCAATTGAGAATAATTGGTTTTGATGCTTGTGCCAGGAGCTTGACATATCACTAAGGTTAAAGAATTTACTCATCACAGTGTCATTTCAATGTTTCTTATTCCAAAATTATTCTGACAAACTTGGGAACTCTTACTATTTTTTCATGGACGGAAATCATTCGTGAGAACACTTGAATTTAGCTAAAAATACTTGAAAAAGCACAAGATTATGTTCATTTATTATTTCAACTCTCACTAAATAAACACTTTTTGATGTCACTTAAAATTGTTTTTTCATGTCGGAAAATCATTTAGACCAAATGAACTCGAGCTGGAGTTGGTGATGGTGGTGGCGGTGGTCCAAGAATGGTATTCAAACTCAAGCTAGAGTATCTAGGCGCTTCATCCATCAGAGTTGCTTGCTCATAAGTTGGCGGTAAATCATCTCGTGCTGCTAGCTTTTGAAATCTTCTTTCCTGTCGACGTTCATCAAGTGCTCGTAAGACTATCACCGCTGGTCCTAAGACTAACATCACTGCTCCAACAGCAACCATAGCAACAGCTGCAGCTGCTCCACCTCCACTCAAATGTGATAATCTAAGTCGTCTTCTGGTTTCCCAAACACTCGGCTTTGATGTCGATGATGCTGGAACAGTTTTATTCTCAAGATGATCTTCTGTTTGAAATATATTCACATGAGTACTTTTTAAAGATACATCATCAGTCTTCTCTGAAACTCTTTGGTTTTCTTGATCTGCAGCACTTGAATTTAGTAGATTTTTATTGTCCACTAACTTTATAGAAGAAAAACCTTTAGATTTATTACTTGGAATTAACTCATCAGTATCTTTTTTGTACGTATCATCAACTTTTTTTTGTTTTACAGTCTTTTTTAGATTATTTATTTCCTCTAATATTTCTTTTTGTTTTTCTAGCTCTTCTTTAGCTAGTGGATCAACACTCTCTAGCACCTTTGGTCCATCGATTTCTTCATTGAACTCTAGAGTCCCTGGAGCATTCACTTTAGATTTGTCAGCAAGAACATCACGATTTATTCCTCCACCTTGTAATTTTTCACTCAAAATACTATTCTGTGGATTGGGATTCTCTTTCACCTTTGTATGTTCACTGATGATGGGAATAACTGAAAGATCTTTGTCTTCTGACGGATGAAAACTAGGAGAACTTATAGGAATAATCTACAAATTAAAATGAATCCAAATTTTTAAATGATGAATTAAACTACATGCTTTAGTTGAAAGCTAAAATAAAGCTTACCTGACTAATATTTCGTGGCTCTGATTCTTTCTGAAGCGACGACACACCTTTTTGCAGCAGCACAATACCAACAGCACTCCATGCTGCGAGTTGTAGAATCACCACAGCCCTTGAGGCCCACTTATTTGTTCCTGATGTCATGGCCATCACTGTGCTTTTTTTAATCTGCAGGATTATTCACCAAGCTCACAAAATATAATATTAAATCTTGCTACATTTTTTTCTCAATTACACTCCATTGTTCATTTTTTTCTCTTCTTTCTTCATCCCTCCTTGTGAAGTAACTGTTTTTTCTCCGCTATTCACTTCTAGTCTGACGTCTCTATTTTTTCTGCACGCAAGAATGTCTACCTGAAAACAAACCAAAAAATTTGCAAGTATTATCTCCTGACCTCTGTCACTTCTTTCATAATACTTATAATATACATTCCCATAATACTAATTATTTCCGTTTTAGAAATATAAAAAATACTACAAATATGCATACTAATTATTCTATTTATTTAGTGCAAATATCAACTGTATTATCTTTTGTTTACCATTACAATTCCGTACATACTTTATCATTTATCATAACAACAAAATAAATCTTTCAATGTATTATTCAAAAACTATTTCAATGTAATTATTTATATTACATAAATTATTCTTTCTTTTTAATTCAGAATAAAATAATTCAATGTCAGAACACTAGTTGAACAATAGTCGATGATTTTTTTTTTTCAACTTTCTTTTATAGAAGTGAAACTAAAAACTAAGTTGTTTTTATTATATAGAATTTATTATTCCTTTGATTTCCTTGTAAACTTATTATCTACCGTGACGTCTAGATCATTTAATATTACATATAAGCAAATCCTTGGCAATACCACAAGTCTGTTCACATTCTACTCACGTGTCTCTTTTATCTTACTTCTGTTCTTCTTTCTCTTTTCAAGCATTTTTCATATATTTAGTGATATCTTTGACACAATCATTTTGCATTTAAGAAGTACATTGATGCGTGTGAAATTCACGCATCTCATTTCCTCAACCTTTATCATATTTATCAGAGAAATATTGCGAATAATTGCCAACACGATGGCATAAGTGGTATTCAGTATAATGTACGTATGATTGTTGTCGTTAGCACATGTGCAACCAAATGGAAACGTATGTAATCGTGTCCTCGCGTGTCTAGTCAATGCGATCGGCCAGAGACAAAAGTTTCGCTCTATTTAACCAGAAAATATAAAATTTCTTTTTTATTTTTATATCATTCATTTAAGAATGTTAATATCCGAAAATTCTTTCCATTAAATATACATTATCATTTTTAATTATCAACTGTACGTTTTGCTGATATCTCTGAAAGAAAATTATCATAAGGAAACATTTACTTGTGGTATTTCAAGTGAACCTACTGAAAAAAAAAAAATACAATGCACAAAATGAAGAAAAAAATAACTGTCTTAATTATGATTTACTTCTTGGAGATAATAAAGTAAACGTCAGGTTCATAATAAAAAATAACTTGCTAGAGGTGTAAATCAGAGAGGAAGTTATTTTATTTTTAATTTTAAAATAATTTCTTGGATTTAAAGATTAACTATAGCTCTGTTGAATTTGAGTTAACAAAAATAGTTTTGTAAACTGTCTAGATCCATCATTATTTTATATTCTTTCCAACTTTAGCACAATGCTTGGATACATGTATGTTGATAACATCAAAGCATAAATCAAATGCCTACAAGACTGATGCATTTTTTCCAGTTGCTAAGTTAATATGTTCTCCAAAAATACTTTTCTCTTCAAGGTTGTGACTTCATTTTTAATTGAAGAGCATGTAGCACCCACGCTAAGCTTAAGAAGCTTCTGTCCACCATAAAAATTTGTTTTCAAGTGATTTCCTTTTATTAGCAACATTGATGATAATAATAGTCATGAAAGAGTATCATTATCATGAAAGAATGGTGATGCTTTATTTATTAGTATCATTTTAATATGATCAGTAATTTATATTTATCAACACCTTGGAAGCACACGTGCTTATTAGTAGGATCAATCTCTTCTCTTGTGCCGATTCTTATTAGCACATTGGATTTCTTGGCCTTCATTCTTGATTATCATTGATCTTGATTAATTCACGGCATTTTAATACGACGTAGTCGATACTCTAGTGCCTATTCTGTATATATTACTCACTTAATCTGACATTCAGGTCTCTAACTAAATATGACACTGTCAGCTGGCTCACTTGATTTGATGTGACTAAACCAACACCATTTCCCCTTTGGATTTAAAACCCTCCCTCACAGATGTTTTTTTCCCATGTCATTTTTAATTAGGAAATCCATTTTATTTATCCTAATTACTGATTTAATAAAATTGTTGAAAAATATTTTTAATTCACAGTTGGAAATAAGACAGCTTTATGTTGTCATTAAATTAAAAAAAAAACAAAAAAGGATAAATAAATAAAATTGTCATCACTTAAACTCACTATAAAAATTTTATTCCATCCTGGAGTATTTTTAGTTGAGACTGGAGCAGAATCACTTGATAAACTTCATATTATAAAGTCAATGTGTGTTAAAAGATGCTCATAAATTGTTTTCACTCAGTGAAAAAAATTTAAACTTCACCTCTGAGGCTTCTATCATCAGTAGAAGAAGGAAGTTGCGCTCAGACTGAGAGTTTGGCGACCAGTGCACTCGTACTATGTGCCCCAAGAACTTGCGGAGTGTGTGACTCATCCCCCCCTCTTACCCTCAACCTCCCATCGTTGCTGGTGACTCTCCTTCTTTGACACCACCACCACTACCTTTATTTTATATTTCATTCGCCCCTGAGTATCCCCCTTCGTCTTCCCTCGTGTGGTCACTTTAACGACATAAAAAATTAAAACAATTAACACACACATTTGCTTGATTGGTGATGCTTGATGATGCTAAAAAATTATTGATTTTTTTTTTTTCTGAAAGAAATAGGACTACTACTGGTCGATTAAACATTCTTGATTAATTTTCAATAGGATAATAATAATGACTGAACCAAAAAAAAAATATAAAAAATATTACGATTAATTAAAGTCAAATAATCTTACAAAGCATTTTATCAAGGCTGAGAGCAAAGCTAGATGTTCATTATATGCTCTGTAATTTTATTTCACGTTAATTAATTTCGCTTTTTGCTTGAAAATAATTTTTAAATTAATTTTCAAAGCTTTTCTATGAAAAGAATAGGAAAACTTATTTTAAAAATTGAAGTAAAAAAAGGAGTGATTCAATCTAATAGATAATAAATGAAAATTATTTCCTGTTGTTATTATGCTGAAAAATTTTGACAAAAAATTAGTCAATTATACTTCCGTTGTGGCTTTGAAGATGTTGAAATTAAATAAAAATAGAAACTCAAGTCCTAACTAGCGAAAAAGAGTTAGAAAGACTTGTTGAATAAATCATAAATATCATTACATATAAATCAATAGTGTTATACACAAAATGATAACTAAGACAATTGGGTCAATTAAAAAATATACTTAAAACACATCAAAATAATATGAAACCACAATCAATGAATTGCTTTCAGAAATTACTAGAAATACAAACAAGATACAACATTTTTATCAGACATTTTTCAATACTTAATATGTAATCATAAATTCTGTACATGATCGAAGAGCAATGACAAGATTTTTTTATTTCAATATCTAAGAATATACGAGAGAGAAGTGATAGAAGTGAAAGAGGAAAAAAAGGAGCGATATTCTCACTTAAGAGGCCATAGCCTTGAGTAAACTATGAGTTGTGTGCGATCGTTATTTTCGAGGGGGTCTAGTGCATCATCGATCCACTAACAAAATAAGAACTCTATGATTCTCCCTAAGAGAAAAATAGTTAAGTAAGCTTAACATAATTTTGGAGCTTTAAACAGCTGAATAGAGTACAAATTTAGCTCTTGAAATTATTATTATCATTTTACTGGCGAACTGTTGCTATAAATCTCTTAATTATTTTATAAATAAAAAGTCCAATAAAATGGCTTTTAATATTTTTCTTATAATTTCATTATTTATTCAACAGCTTAATATCATTTGAGTGTTTATCTACCATGTTGATCATTAATCTCCATTTATTTGTTCTCTTCTTTTGAAGATTATCGAAAAAAAAGCATAATAAAAAATATTATTCTTCACTTTAGCCTTTTCATCTGTTTAAATAATTGTATTATTTTATTGACAATTTTTCTATTTCCGTAGCATGAAGTTCGTTTATTTCAATTTCCTTGAGAAGTCTTATAAGCAGAGTTCCATATGTTGACCATCCAATCAGCAAACTTTGAGAGGAAATATTTAACAGCAAAACTCTCAAGGCTTCAATTTCTTTCCTCACTTTTAGACCAAGTGAAAAGAACCCTTGGAAAATAAGTAACTAGACTCTAGACCTTCAAGCAAAAATAATTTCATACTTCTTCCCTTGATAATATTACATATTGCTTGTTCATCATTCAGAAGCTTCCACTTTCTTCATCTATCTGTGTCTAGAAAAGATGATTGAGCACATGGTTATATTAATTGAAGCATGTGCCTCTGTCATATCCCTTCAATTGCAACTTTCGTCAATTTTTCATTCTCCAACATCAGACTGGAACAAGCTAACGTTAGTGGAGTAAGAATAGCTGCTTATTTACTTTAACCTCGGTTCATTTTGACCCTCGACTTCATCACAACAGGAACAGAGATAGTGAATCGCTTCGAATATTCACCCCTACTTCATTCTTGGTCGCGTGCCAATAACTATTCGCCCTTTTCATGAGTCACTTGTTAAACTCTTACCATAAATTTATCTATGTCACATTTAGAATTCTTTATTCTAAAAATTTAACAATAAAATCAGTTGAAAAAGAAAGTTCAATTCATCTTTTGTTTGCTGCAAAAAAGACATATGAATTAATGATTTGTTTATTTTTATTCCTGTCTCGTGCATTGATAAGAATCCCGCGAAGGTCGAGAGCAGTAAAATGATTGCGTGCTTAACACAAATCCCCAACTCTTTAGCTGTTAAAGTATCAAATATTCTGTATACCAGATCTACATTTAATCTCATTGTATAAACAGCACAAACTTGACTTTTATTCCATATATCACATGAGTACATCAGCATGATTAAATCAAAGGTCAAGAAAAATGGAAAAATCATATTTATCATCATTGGATCTATAATAGCCAACTAATTGTGTCAAAGAGTTATCAATCGTTAGCTAAACTGATACAATATCTTGAGGAAGTTTTGGTGAAGTAGTTGAATGTTAATAACCGTTGATGCGTTAAAGGACACATTCATTGTCAAGCAGCTGAAAAGAAGTAGTATTAGGTAATCGATCTGCTACCAGACTCAGAAGTAATCACATAGGAAAACCTTCAGTGTTTTTATTTGATAGCTTTTTTTTTCGTCAATGCATCCGCTATTGAATAGGTTTCTTTAAATCATCAGGAGCAATATTAGTATTATCTAGTATTTTTACTTAGGTTTTTGCTGTAATCAACCAGACGATTGTACAAATCTTAAGAAATAACTTGCTCAATAATATCAAGTCTACGATTAGATCAAGTAATTAATAGTACTTGGTAATTAAATTCCGTAAGTCTTATTACGCATGCTATATGTACACTTGAAACTCTGAATGATTCATAATATTCTGTGACATTAATTCGAAGCTTCTCTTATTACTCAGGAAGTTCATGACATTAAAATTAAATGTGATTCATTTGAAGAATAACAAAAATGAAAATAATTATAAGTATATAAAGGTGTTTTGTAGGAAAATCTAGTTGATTTTGCCTAGAAGTTATGAATCGAGTTACAATTAAAATCCTTGGCTTATGGAATTAAATAACAGGATACTTTTACTTCCGTTCTATTTTCTATCTTTGCCAATTGACACTAAATAAGAGGATGCTATAATCATTTGTATTAATTTATTCAAGTCTCGCTTGGAAGTCTGATTGTTTCTTACCAGGTGGACTGCAGGTGTCAGCAGGATGTGAATTCTTTTTTGCGTCTTGGCTTTCTTTCCATTCAAGTCACGATGATGATGATGATTATAATTGACTTTACATTTAATAGTTGCCCAATTGATACTTCAATTAATTGAGTGATTACAAGTATTGCACTGGTTGTAACATCTTTCAAACTGATAATGAGGTAGATGACCTGCTCGTTGTCGGCTTGACACTTCATCTATGATTGTAAAAACACTTGATGCATTAATTTCTTCAATAAAAAAAGAATGATAAACTAGAAAAAACAACGGAAAAATTGCTTTATAACTTTTTATCTTACATAGACTGGAGTTATGCCTATCATAAAAATCGTTAAAAAATTTTTTTATCAAAGTATAAAGATAAAAATAAAATATTACTGATGATTTTTAAATATAAGTGTGGAAGAAAATAATTAATATTCCATTAAAATAGATATTTAAAAATATTGATAAATTAAAATGAATCACAGTAATCTGGTTAGATATTCTTTCATATTGCAATATTTTTTTTATTGGAATAACACGTTGTTTACATTTATTCATTCTTTCTTTAATCAAAATTGATTCTTTACGATATTTTCATTGATGATGACGTGGTCTTTATAATAACAGCAAATGATAAGGAAACAAAATGAGGTGGGATGGACAAAAGGATTGCTACATCAAAACTATCAATTATTCCTTTATTGTCCACGTGAGAAGGAACAAGTGCTTCGAAAATAGCACAATTTCTTCAAGCATCGTTGAACATCCTGTGATACTAGTTAGCAATTATTTGTAAAAAAAAAAAAAAAATTTATTGACAATGTAGTGACCATATCAATATTCATTTCCTCTTTCTATCACACTTACAAGTCGCTTCATAACACAAATGTCATTGACAGGCAGCTAGAAAAGAATGACAAGAATCAGAGTGGGAAACATAAAAAGAGAAATAAATGGAAAAAGAAGACAAGTGCATACCAAAGTGCTTTTGCGATTTGAATTCTACTGTTGAAGTTGAACGTAAGTTGTCGCAAGTTAAGTTCTTGTATTGTTTCACTTAACTACTTACAATGTTTTACATGAGTGGATTTACTTTGTTATCAAAAGAACAATATTTATTCCAGTCATAACATGATGATTACTTTTTAATGACTTATTACAATGATCGTAATTAGGTCAGAAAGTTAATTTGTTTAAATGCCTTGACATAGAATATTAAAATTAACCAAAGAATTAAGTTCAAGAATCAAAATAATCATGTGTTCATCGATAGTGAATAAAAATATCGAAGAAATAAGAACTTTATATGTTACTGCCGGAGTAGTGTTGTTCTTATCTTATCTTTACGTACAGAATTACACTAAAATTAATAATAATAACAGTAAATAATAGTAAGAATGATATTATGCAAATTGCAAATATCTTTTTTCTTTCTTACCCACAAACTGTGAAACAAATGTGGTTTAGTTTAATTATTCTAAACTGCAGGTTTAATAGAGTTGAACGAAGATCTTGCATTAAAAGGAAGTCATAATGAGATAAACAAAACCAGGATAAAATAAAAATAATTTAATCTTCTTTATTTTTACGAAGAATTCAATATGAAAATTAACCTGAAATAGATAGGAAAAAAATCAGTAATGTTAATTGCTTAGTATCTAAATTGTAAATATGTTTTTCACTTACCCAAATGAGAAAAATACAGTAGAAAAAAGAAACATTTTCATATTTAATGAACTCTTCTTTGCAGATCTGATGAACTTGAATAATAATCTCACATTTGTAGAAAGAAACGATGAGATAAATGATGTCAGAGCAAATTGAAAAGCGTCTGGTCTGATAAAATATTGTTAAGATCCCCTTGATGATGTTGACCGATAACGTCTGAAAATTTTACACGTCGATTACGATGATTAATCTTAATTCTTGAATTTTTGAGTGAATGGTTCAACGTATTTCAGTAAATAAAATATTCACAATGTCATTCATCTCGTGTTGTTAATTATAAATAGCAAGTGCTTCGTTGAAGAGTATGTACGACATACTGGCGCCTACGTCATTCTAATTTTTTTTTTATAAATTAAAAAAGGCAATATGACCTTCTTTCTATATATTTTCTATAAATTAACTATGATTAGTCATCTGTTATTGTTAGATTCTAGACTGTAATCCTGATCTTTTAATTTGTCACCTAAAAGTCTATCATTAAATTAATGAAGCACATCATCAGCAGATATTTTTAAATATTTGTATATATTTATATCAGCTTTTTATGACTGCAGAAAGTCTACTTTTTTATTTTCATTATAAAATCTCTTTAATTTTTATTCAGGTAAATAATATGTATTCAAGGTTAGACATAATGTACAAGGATAAAACCTACAGTTGTAATAATTAAAATGAAGTGATATGCATAGTATATTCCAACAAGTACTGTAATGATCAAGACATCAGGTGTTAAGTAATTATTCAGATAGCTCTAGATCTAGATTTGTTTTACTGTTTATTTTTAATTATGTAACGGAAGGATTAATTACAACTGAATCAGTTATGCTTCATATGATTTATCTCAACCATTTTCATGTTTATTTAGGAATATGATTCATGAGAAGCTTTCACATTTAGCAAAAAATACGTTGCTTTGCTTATAAATTCATAAATCTAACTTTCTTTTATTTTACATAAATTATTTGGCTGAATAAAAAATTTCATGTTTTATGTATGTAAATTTAATTAAAATTTTTTCCTTTCATTTTTATGGCTCTTAATTTTTTTGATAACTTCACAGACTTTTTATTTCAAAATAAAAGTTCTCTGCTCTTCAGAACTGTTTATAAATAGTGCTTGAAGATATTCTGCAGATGAGTGAATACTTGTATCAACTTTATGTTAATTTGTGTATGGATAGGCGAATGTACCTCTCATAAATTTGCTCATTTGCTGGCACTCATTCATTCGCTAATGAGTTTGCCCTATTGACGTGTCAGAATAGCGTAAACTTACGTGCACTACATTGTGAATTAACTTTCTGGTAATTAAGATTGAAGTCCTTAATGTCAAACTATTGTTTTTGTCATAAAGACCATAAAAAAATGTGTAGTTAGACGAATATGGTAAAACTTTATGTGCAGTATGACCAGAAAATTCAAAGAGGGTTTTATATTTTTATGAGGTTTACATCATGCTTGAAGTGACTAAACTAAATGACTTCAACAACCGGCTTTATATAGAAGAGCTCAAAATACTTTTTACTTAATTAATATAATTATCCATTTATTTTGTAACGCATTCTTAATACTAATATTTACTGAGAATGATTATTTATACAATTTAAAATAGGTTATTGTTCATTTTGTCAGAATTTACCGACAATTCACAAAAAATAACTAACTTATCATCCATCATCAACTTTACCTACACTTGGTATACTGATGCGCATGAATATCTCTTTCCAGAATGATAAAGTAGCGTGAAACCCAAGTCCCATCTCCAAAATGCCAGGGTTTGACGGGTTTCAAGTTGTCAGGCGTGGAAGATTTGGAAGAAGACGTTTTGTGCCTCGAGTTCCTGGTCCTGTGAGAGATATTGTTGAACCTGAAATTGATACTGAAAGGCTGCTACGGTAAGTTGCATGAAATCATCATTTTTAACTACTTAAGTTGATGTAGTTGATCTCCAAACACGCGCTTAACCTCAACGTGTTTTTTTTACCAAAATGTTTTCAGCACAGTCCTTGATGCTGTCATATCACTGCGGAATTCTCCATATAGACAAATAATATACAACGGTTTGGCGGAGTCCTTGAATATCCTCAATAAGGAAGTGATACCAGAAATTGTTTGCTATGGTTTAGGCAATTTCTCAGAATGTCGAGCTGCGAAATATCAATTGGCCGCTTTATTAACCATAAAGTCTCGCTACCAAAGTCGAGTTCATCTTTACGATCCAGTATTTTTTTCCAAAGAAATAGAAGTATTAAAGACTCTTGGTTTATTTATGATAGAAACCAATGAAAGAGCCTTAAGAAAAGCTGATGATAATCTGACACTTTTTTATATGCCTCACCTTTGTCAAGGCCTGATTGCAAATTGTGTTTATGCTAATAGGGGAATAGATCTCAATAACTGTATTTTTATGACCAACAGTTTTACTGAAATAGCCCAAACTATTGGAATTGATGAGGATTTCAAGGACTCCGTTGAAATGATTAATAAGCTGACTCCATTTGTCCACGAAATTTCTATAAATAATGATTCAATTAATACAGAATATCCGTTAAATCATGCATTTAATAGTACTTCGATTCATGTATTCCCCAAATTAACTCTTTCCAATGTGCCGGAAGAGTTTTGGAATTCCTTGAACGGACCTCCTTATTCACCATCTGATGAGATTAATCAAAGACGTGATTAATTTAATAACATTTTTATATAAATTTTGATATCTTTAGATTAAATGTTATCAAACGGTAATTTTTCTTATTTTAAGATAATTAAATAATCCTCAAAACGTTATAATTTGATAGAATGATAATTTTTTTAATTACAGGGATTCAAAAAGATGAATTCTAATCTTCAACTGATTCGTTCTCTTTTTCGAGAAATTCGTCATATAGCCAGCGAGGGCAAAATCAAGGATAATATCATGGTTCAGTACATCTTGGAACAAGCTAGAGCTCACAAAGAAACTTCAGAAACTCTTTGCAAAGCACGTGAAGAGTTAGAATATCTAGCAAAGACTTACAATTGTTATTTAAGCTCACAACGAGCTTATAACGAAATTCAAACTCAATACGCTGGTGTAGGAGAAAGAAGTATTCGTGAAACTGCCGATTTAGTTGGATTCAAACTTCCTCACGATCCAAAATAAATTTAAGAACCATGAAATTTTTTAATTTCTTATAGAAACAATTTAGATTATATTTAAGATAATATATAAATGGTATATTGTATGAAATAATATTTTAAGTTTTATTGCTTAATATGAAAAATTTTAGCTATTAAATTGTTATTAGATGATTAATGAATTATAAAAAATTGATCTATCATATTAGGATTAGTGATTTGATTTACATTGAATATACATCAGTATTAATTCAAGAATATGCTTTTCGGATTTGTTTAGCAATGGTTGATAATTGCATATTGCTAGTTCCTTCATAAATAGTTCCAATTTTGCAATCTCTAAAATATTTCTCTTGTGGGAAATCTGTTGTGAATCCTACTCCTCCCATAAAATCTATACATTTAGCCGTTACTTTAAGTGCAGTTTCTGGAAGAGTAAACAGATTCATTGGTCAAACAATGAAAGTTTATTTATCATTTAAAAAACAAGCTAGAATGTGATGTAATAACATACCAGATGCAACGAGCTTAGCCATTGCAGCTTCTTTAACAAAGTCTTTCTTAGCTTCAACTAATCTTGCTGCATTATAAACTAATAATCTTGCAGCTTCCAATTCCGTGACAACTTGAGCAATTTGATGTTGCATAGACTAAAAAAAAATTGTGTATAAGTTTCTCAACTGATTAAAATGCAAATTACTGTCAAGTAATTGTTATTTACTTGGAAGGAGAAAATATCGTGACCGAATTGCTTTCGTTCAAGTGTGTAAGGTATAGTAGCATCCAAACAGCCTTGAGCAATTCCAATCATTTGCGCGCCAATACCCACGCGACCTTCATTCAAAAATCCAGCAGCATACTTGTATCCATGTCCAAACTGTCCTAAAATATTACTTTCTGGTACTCTGACGTTCTCAAAGTGGACCATACACGTTCCTGAAGCCTTAATTCCTAATTTATCTTCAGGTTTTGCTACAGAGAGGCCTTCCATTTCTCTATCTACGAAGAATGTTGTAATCCCTCGATATCCCTGTAGAGAGAGAGAAAGTTACTTTGTTTATTTATCAAAAGTCTTTTATTTCTGATGATTAATTGTTCCTATCAAGCCAAGCCTTAAACTTTTTTTCCCCCAAGATTAATTTCGAATCCGATAAGATACTCAATGTCATTAATATTTTGTCAATTATTACATATACTGTCTAAAAAAATCTTTTCTCTTACATCTGAAGGATTAGCATTTGCAAAAACGAGAAACACTCCAGCAATATCTGAGTTTGATATCCACATCTTGGTACCATTAATTACATAATGATTGCCGTCTTTTTTTGCTTGAGTTTTAAGAGAGAATGCATCTGAACCTGATCCAGGTTCCGTTAAACAGAAACTGCCAGCCTGAAATTGGCAAAAAGAATTTTGTTTAAATATTTATTTTGTCTGATATTTTTTTATATGTGAAAAGTCAAAAATTACTCACACACTGTTGAGCTAACTTGGGTAAATACTTGGCCTTTTGTTCCTCTGAACCAACTTTTATGATGAGGGAATTAACTAGAGTATTATGAATATCAACTAAGGCACCAACAGAACCGTCTACTTTCGATAATTCTTCTACTGTTAAGATGGTGCTCATGAAATTAGCATTAGATCCACCATAATCTGCTGGAATTTCCAAACCCATTAGCTGGAAAAATTTACAAATTACAGAATTAATTAAATGGCTTGAAAAGAGTTGGTAATTAAGTTTAATTATTTAATTTCTTACTCCATGTTCAAATAATTGCTTTAATAGTCCATCATCAATTTTTCCTTCTTTCTCCATCTTTTTGACGAGAGGACTAATTTGTTCTTTAGCAAATTTCGCAACTGTATCAATAACAAATAATATTTATGAATAATAATCCATTTTCCTCAATTCATTTATTTCATAATATTTTTTTCATACCAGTTTCTTTCATCATCATTTCGTCCTCAGTAAATTGGGTCAAAGGTCCTGAAGAGTGATTTAATACCACGGAAGAGGCGTGCAATTTTTTTGCTTTTACCCACTCTTGTGGAACCTACATAGATGATTGGCAGTAGAACATAAATCATTGAGTGATGTTTAATGTACCAAAAAAAAAAAGATAAGAAATTTGAATTAATAAAACTAAAATTCAATTCGTAGAAAAAATTCTTTATATGTAGATCAAGCCCAGGTCAACTCGTCAATCAATCCATTTGGAAAGTCGAGATCATAAAGGACAAAGGGAAATAAAAAGAACTTACTTTCTTAAAAATACTCTTGATAGAATTCATGTTAACCACGTTTTTTTATTTAGAAAACAAGTCCTTGAAATTTAGTATCTTGAAGAAATACCACTTTTGATCTTGCTCCTGAGGTGACAAACCACACTAATAATTAATACTCAAGACACCGTCTGCACAGCGACTGATCGACGAGGGCATAAAACTGGTTGTTATATAATAATAAAAACAAGTATCTCAAGTAGCTTGTCCAGCCAACGAATAAGTCAATGTAGCTCTGAAAATTTGCCATGCCATCATTATCATGTAGCTCCCTACCAGCTAGGCCTTATCAAACATTTGTTATCTGAAATGATATATATTCATCAGTAGCCTAGTTGGACTATTAAGTTTCTATTCCTAATTAGATGGTCTTTTATGCTGTTCATCATGCTTTGAGTATATTTTTTTTTCCTTTGAAGTATGAATTAAATAAAGAAATAAAGTATTTCTAAAGGATAATTTGCCAATTTACTGCTGTTGAATTCTTGATTAGTATCAATAAAAAAGGGTTTATCTCTTTCCTTTGTTGCTACAAAGAAACATGTTTTTTCACTGTAAGCAGGCCGGAGGTCATTGATTGAAAGATACATGAATTTTGTAATAATATACAAAATTTGTTCATTCACGCTCAATGAATGATTTGATAATTATATAAACCAGAGCATTTTTATATCAAAGAAATAAATAATAATTTGTAAATAGTTAAAACTAACACAAGGACATGACAAAATTCATTATTTTTTATTTCACTATGATAAATAAATAAATGGTTATATTGTTGTTAAATAGGTGTTTTGTACATAAAATTGTAAAAACATAACGACGAGATTGATTAATAACTTAATTAATTTATCAAGAATAGAAGATAATGAAAAAAACATTCTAATTAGGTCAGAGAGCAAACAATTGAATAATTTTTTTAATTCACTTGATGTGACTTTTAGTCAACCATTTAAATTATGTTAAATTAATAAATAGAGAACATTTCATTCAACTCCATCTTACGTAAATCATTAAAAACATATCAACAAAATTCAAACTGTACCGCTAAAGTGAACACCGCCATGACAGTTTTTATCAGCCAATCGAATTAATTTATTATTCAACCAATCAAGGTTCTCATTTCCGTTGGCTTGGATATCTGCGCAGAACATTCAAATAGGAAATGTAGATGAAATATCTGTTGTTTTTATCCATGTATTGTCTCAAAAAATAATTGATTAAATTAATCGTCTAAAAATATATTTATCTTTTATTAATATAATAAATATCCACAGTTACTAATGCTGTATTTATTACTGAATCATTGAATAAAGTTGCGCATTAAGCTGCGCACAATTCACGAGTTTGATAAGCGAACAACGTCCGATCGATTTGTGTTTTTTTAGGCAGTTGAAAATAAAGGGTTAGTGATGCTATTCAATATGAAAAGAGCAAGTCTGTGATATTAAGATAGCTATTAGCATAATTTCTAAAATAGCCAACGTGTACTTGTATAAATCTATGAGATTAATTGATAAACATAGTGAAGTGACAGTTTAGTGAAGCTTTGATTTAGGAACCCGGTGGGAAGGTGTCCGCCGGAAGGAACGACAGCCGCTCAACCGATACTCGCCAGTCCAACGGTGTTTGGTGTACGAGATAGAGTGTGAGTTGTTAGTGAGGAAGGAAAACCGGTGTCTCTTGACAGGTGAGTCAGTTAAATAAATTGTTTAATCAATCATTTACAATTCATGAGCAAAATTCATTCGTTAGCTTGATTTCTTCTGTCATATCAAACGATCAAGTTATCAAAAAGTGAAAATAGCGAATAAAGGAAGCGAGTGGTGCCTGGAGAGAGTGACGTAGGGCAGAGGGGTGTGTCACTTATTTGTGATAGCATTATTTCTTACCTTTGACGTTAAGTTAACGCAATAAAGTAAATTAGATTTATCGAGAATTAGTAATCAATTATGCAATAGCATTGTTACTTAAATCAATCGATTAATTGAAGATATTATCTCTTTTTTCACGATTCCGCCATTTGCCGCCCTGCTGATTACTCGTTTACGGCCCTGAGGTTTCTGAGTATAATAAACAATTTTTTGCACTTTCGAGTATTGTTTCTTTGAGGCGAAAGTGTTTCTATGTATTATTTATCTTTGTCTATTATTTACTTGTGGTTTGATATTCAATGTAAAAGTCAAATACAGAAAATGAAAGCTTTCTGTTTAGATAAATCTGACGATTAATACTTGGTTATTTATAACCGTCTTCATGGCAGAGTTATCATGGTTTCTTGTCAGTAAACTCGGTCAATCTCAAAGAATAGACGATACTTGTATGATTTATAAGCATGATAGATTTTTATTTTATCTTTAAATATTGTTCTAATTATGAATAACACCAGTTTATATAAGATTATTTGTATAAATACATGGAAATGAAATTACTTAAGATATCTTAAAATCTCTTAAGTAATTAACTTGTTGATAGACTCAATAGATTCTCAGCATTTTTTGTGTATGACGAGAAGTATTAATTGAGTATTATGTCATTGGGTGTTATATTAGGAAAGAAGCATATCGTTTAAAAATGCTTCATTTTCTTCAAGTGAAACTTTAATGTGCCTGGTACCTTTTATGTCAAGTGTAGCTCTCAGAAGCACGTGTTCTTCAGGGCATAGTCACAGGTAGTAAATGTAGTATTTTATTTACTTATTTTATTTAATAACATTTTAATTGTTATCACGAAAAGTGATACACTTTTAATGTTCATTAATAAAATATTTAAAATTAATAATGAAATTTTATTGAATTTTTTAACAATGTGATATAGATAATTTTTATATTTATTCCATTCTGAGTAAATGACAAAAGAATGGAAATAATAAAATAACAAAAAAAGAATAATAAATAATAAATTTTGAGAAAAATTGTAGTAATTTCAAGTTAGATATTTAAAAAATTATTATTAAAAATTGATAAAGTTCCAAGATTATTTTTAAACTATGGCTTATTGAATTTTAAATTTTATTATACTAAGTAAAACACTTGTTTATTTCAATGAATATATACTAAGACCTATTTTTTAATTTGCACTCAAATTATTACACTAAAATAAAACAAATGTTTCATTCATTGGAATAATGACTGAACTCGCCTACGCAGGTTGTTATGTCAGTGTCGATGCATATCATGATGGTCAAGATAGATCACTAGGTAAATTTATTTTAAAATAGATTTATTAGACTTTGATGATTATGAAAAAATTAAATGTCACTTTTTTTTATAGCTATGAATAAATTTCTAGGTTTATTTATTGATAAATAGCAAGAGACAATTGTCTCGTTGCTTAAAGAGTGTAGTTGAATACATAATACACTCACAATTTCTTATAAAATGTGATGTAGTGTAGAAGTAAAGGATTGTGTGGAGAGAAAAGAAAGAGGGGCTTTCCCCTACCCAAACGTAACTTGAAGAGGCGATCGAGAACGACAAACGACCAGACGATTCGAACGGGTGTGTTTCGTGGCGTCTTCTCATCGTGTACATCGCACTAAAATTTATCTGTAAAAAAATATGACTTGACTGACCTTGTGGCTTGTGAAGAAAAAGTTTTAAATTTAAAGGGTTCAAGTGTGTGCGTGTTAAATAAGGAGAGAAAGTATTTGGTTCGATGATTTTAAGGTGTATTAAATTGTGAATTTTTGCTTTTAGTTCAATTTAAAACTTGTCAATACGACAAGTGTTTATTACGTGCCTTTGATATTGTGATTTTCCTTCAAAATTGTCAAACTGGTGAGACTTATTTTTATTTAAAATTACTTTTAGCTTAATCATCTATAAATAATTAAGTTAATCACAAGGTAAACAAGAAATAAATTTGAGAACAAATATTATATTATCTAGTGATATTAGAGAAGCGGTGTCTATCTTATAATCAAGACGCATTGACCAGAAAGTTGGTATATTAATTACAATTATTTCTCACAATCAGGCTTTCAATTAATAATAAAATCGCGTCTCTTTCAATCTCTATAACATGTCATTAATACTTGTTGTGTATAATAATAAGTAGAATTTATTGAAAAATCATAGATACGTGAGTGTAAGAATAAGTAACAACATGCTATTCCACCATTTGTCGACGCCTCGTTATATCGCCGCGTAGGATAATCTCTATGTTTAACCGTGACATCATCAGGACGCGAGCCAGCGGACGAGTGAGTTTACACAGTTCTACGGGCATTAATAAAAATTACATATTTCCCATTCATGCTTAAATTCACTTCTCTCTTCATTCGTCTATTTTAAATACATCAGTAAATAAATTATTTTCATCACCAACTCCTGCTACAAAAAGATCTTATCTACTAAAAGACGTGAATATTCATGTTTACATTACACCACGTAAATATTTATACTAATTAAAATATTCAAAGGTCTAGGGATTTTTTATTTCTATTTCATCAACTTGAAATAATTATATTTTTAATTATTACGTCAATTTGTTTACTTTTTAAATAAGATTATTTTTATTTTCTAATGTGTTTAGACATTAATTGGCCATTGTCAACACTAATGTTTTTTAAAAAAAAACAAAATAATAAGCGTTAGTTATTTTTAGAATTAATCATCATTCACAATAATGACGATCGTCTTATGTCATATATAAAAATCAATATTTAAAATTCAAGACACATGAGTTGAAGGGAGGGAAAAATGGCATTTATAGATGCGTCCCAAATGCTCTAATAGCTGATAGATTGCGTAAGGAGCAGGTATCATTGTCAAAGGGGAATTGGTGTTGTGTGTGTGACCTCGTCTGAGTGCACACCAAGTGCATCCGTTAACTCTCCCTTTACTTTTTATTGCAAACGAGAGGATTCAACCATGACTTGGAGGCATAAAATTTTTTTTTTTTTTTTTGAAATTTTAATTTACAATTTTATTTTATGCATGTCATTAACCAGTAAAAAAATTTCAATTCCACTGGTATTACTTTCACTGAAAACTATTATTTTATTTTTCACTTTTATCGTCCAAATCATCGAAGCTACCACAACAACAACACCACCGGAAGCTTTTAATTCCCAAGAAGCATAATTGAATACATTTTGTAAGACTTATAATGTTTTTGAGGCACTTCCTGGAATAATTGCGTAAAACTAGCGGTTACGTGTGTGAATATTACATTTAAAGCACATTTTAATGTAAGATTTTATGACATATTTAAGATATAATTCATGTTCATTGAGTTCTTTTTTTTCTTACACTAACAGGGTGCATTCACCTTCATGCTACGGTACCTGTATATATATTTATTTCCGGGTATTTTATCGTCGTCCAACTGCCACCAGGTTCTTTTGAACAAAACAGTCAAGTTGTTATACCATAGATAGTCAACTGTGTAAGAATGTCAACTGAGAATTTTTATATTATTTATACAATTGTATAGTAAATAATATATTTCAATATTTCAATTCATTTTTTACTCATCGTTAGATAAAATATTCATTCAAATTAAAATGTCACATGATATACTGCTATTTTTGATTGCAAAAAAAAAATTAACCATTTTATGGTAAATATTAAAATTGTTTGAATAGGTAGAGTGGAAAGTAAATATTTGACATTTAAAATGAATTTAACTGTAAATTTATTTTAAAAATTTTAATGAAGATAAACAATACTTTTTAATATCTGTAATTAATAACTCTAGAACAATTTCTATTGTTTAAAAAAAAATGGGTACCCTTTGTCAGTGATTTTTTCACAAACCCATGATGATATAGAACTGCACGAACGGTTTTGAAAGACACCGTTATGAACCACAGCCAATTAACGCGAATCTAGTCGACTTGAAGCATTCACTGTAGCTACTGTTCTTTCATTCACTCGTACTCGTTTTTATTTAATTACACTACTTATTTTTTAGCAATTAAATCATTATGTTAGGTTACTAAATCATCTATCAGTATATATTTTTCAAATTTACTTCTCATTACAAATACCAACCATGAAGAAAAAACATATTTGATACGCATTCTAATTTAATTGTGTAAGCTTACGTCATCTACACTCTGGGAAAATTATCGAGCAAGGTTATCTGAATATTTTAAAGAACTTTTTGAATATGTCATCATTGTTGGTTTTCGTAGAAGTCGATTGATTTTTATGTAAAGTTTAATTTTATTAGCTTTTTTATAATTGAATTATCAATTAATCCTTAATTGTTTTCATATCAAACTAGTTTTAAAAAATTCTATACCATGATCTATAAATAGTTAACTCTGAACGTGACCCACTCACGTCATTCTATACTCGAGATATTTGATGAAGAGTTTACAAGCTCTGTAAGCTCGACTTAAGTGAAATCCGTTCAGCATCTTTTAGAACATCTTAACTTAAAAAATGAAAAGCTATGAAAAAAGGTGATTTATTAATATTGGAATATTTTTTTATTTTTTATCTTAGATAAGATTGGTTGGAAGCATTTTATTCAATAAACTCATTCAAATGAAAATACCTTGATAAGTCGTTATTACAGCAAGAGAAGATAATACTTATATTTTTAATGATCAAACTATTCCTAGTATTTTGAGTAATGCTATTGAGTGTAATTGGATTAATTGATATTTTTTTATTTCTTGGTATTTAGGGTAAATACCAGAAAATTGTTGTAAATAATAAACAATTGTTTATAGAT